GACACACATGTGGTGCACTTCACGAGCCTCGGCGGTTTCCACAACGATGGCAGCAAGAGATCTCCACTTGTTGCGGACCAGATGATGATGAACAAGACCAGTTGCAAGAAGGGCAGACACCGGAACTCTGTTCGCACCAGTGGCGCGGTCTGAGAGCACGAGGATCTTGTCACCGTTCTGAATAGCCTCAGTTGTGGCATCGCAGATGGCATCGAGGGCCTCCAAATATCCCGGAACACCCTTCTCCTTTTCGAAGGTGATATCAATGGTCCTTACAGTCCAGTCCTTGTGGGCCTGAGAAATGTTCTTCAGGGCGTTGAACTCGGGGATGCTGAGGATAGGGGAAGGAAGCAACAACCGGTGGCACTGCGACTGTTCCATCTCCAGAAGGTTACCCTGAGGACCAACGTAGCACTCCAAGGACATAACAACAGCCTCTCGAATAGGATCGATAGGGGGGTTGGTGACTTGGGCGAAGAGTTGGCGGAAATATTCGTAGATAAGACGGGGCTGCTTAGCGATGCAAGCCAAGGGAGCGTCGTTACCCATAGATCCCAGAGCTTCTTTAGAGTCTGCAGCCATGGGACCCAGGAGTAGACTGACCTGCTCGAAAGAATAGCCGAAGGCCTTCAAACGAGGATCGTTCTGAATGGTCGTCTCGTCCAAGGCATGTGTCAAGTCCACGCGTTGTTCGTCGAGGCTCTCTTTGATGGCGGGCAACTTGAGGAGCTCCTTATCCAGCCACGAAGCAAAGTCATGTCTGTGGGATACAGTGTATTTAAGCTCAGAGTCATCGATGATGCGTCCAGCCACAGTGTCGACCAGGAGCATCTTTCCAGGCTGCAGACGACCTTTCTGAACCACGCGCTCAGGGTCAATGTCTACAGCACCAACCTCCGAGGCACAAACGATGCGGTCATCATCTGTCACGTAGAATCTGCAAGGACGCAAACCGTTACGGTCGAGGTTTGCACCGCAGTAGCGACCGTCGGAGAAGGTAAAGAGAGCCGGGCCGTCCCACGGCTCCATCTGGCAAGCCGCCCATTCGTAAAAAGAAGCCTTAGCCGGATCCATAGCCGGGTTATCTTGCCAGGCTTCCGGGATCATAAGCATGACTGCTTCAGGCAATGAAAGCACGCCGTTGATCATCAACAGCTCAAGGACGTTATCGAACGCAGCCGAGTCGGAACCACCGTCCTCAACAATGGGGTACAGGGAATCCAGCTCCTCGCCAAAAATGTCCGACTTCAGCACACCTTCTCTGGCGCGCATCCAGTTCTTGTTGCCACGAAGGGTGTTGATTTCACCATTGTGAGCGGCCCAACGCAAGGGCTGTGCACGGTCCCAAGAAGGGAATGTGTTGGTAGAGAAACGGGAGTGGACGAGAGCAAAGTGACCTTCGTAGTCAACGTTTACCAAATCATGATAGTACTGGTATACCTGGACCGGGGCCAATTGACCCTTGTAGACAATATTTCTGTTGCTCAGGGAGCAGAGATAGAACCAATTGGCGAGACCGATGACGTGAGTAGCCCGCTTTCGCAGGACATACAATTGACGTTCGAATGTCTTGACGTCAAAGAGCTCTGGGTCGGTAAGCTCTGGCTTGTTTCCTTCGCCATAAGCCGACTTCAGCACGACGAACGGCTGCATGATGGTAGGCTCCCGGGAAAGAGCGGCGGGACCCAGAATGGTCGAGTCGCGGGGGACCTCACGCCAGCCCAACACTCGTAGTCCCAAAGATGTGGCAATTTCCTCGAAGCTCTGTACGGACTCCTTTACGGACTCTTCCTCAGGCTTGAAAAAAAGATTGCCGACAGCATACTGACCGAGGGGAGGGAGATCAACTCCAACCTCACGGGCAAAGTTCTTAATGAAGAATTTATGGGGGATACTGGTCATCACACCAGCACCATCACCATCGCGTGCATCCGAGCCAACGGCACCACGATGGGTCATGTTGCAAAGCAAATTGCGAGCTACAGAAGTCAGTCAGTATGCTCCCGAAATCACCACATATCGGATTGCAAATGCTTACCATCACTGACAATCTTGTGGCTAGGCTTGCCCTTGATGTGACTAGAAATTGAGAAAGTAGCTGTTAGCCCGTCGTTCCATGAATCCCAGGGCGCAATCAAGAGATCGCTTTTGAGGGGGGGGTGTTCCCGGCTGAGCACTTACGCCGCAAAGCCTACACCACAAGCATCCTTCTCGTATTCGGGGTCATAAAGACCTTGCCTCTCGGGCAGGGTGTTTGCCCAGCCATAACCCTTCTTTGGCTGGTACTCCGAATACTCATTCGGAGTCTGCTCTTCCACTATAGGTTTGCCATAGAGTTCCTCCAAGTTCAGACCCATTCTTCCGCCGGTGGCCGACAGAAAATGGAGTAGCAAATCTAGGGAAATTGGTGTGGTTGTTGTTTGGGGGGGCAGGAAATCGCCGCGGAACAAGTCGGGGCGGGGGAGGGGGCAATTCGTTCTGTTATAGATAAGAACGATGTCGTCACAAAGACCGGAGGGGTGGGTGTACAATGACGCGGGCGAGGAAGGGGCAAAATCCAGAAACTTTTAATGGTGATGGCCCAGCGTCTGACTCCTGGTGGAATGATAATGGGAGAAAGAAGAGAGAGAGAGAAGAAGGAGAGAAGCGACCAGGGAGAGGGGGAGGGAGGGAGGGGAATAATAAAATGGGCAAGACAGAGAGAGAGGGAGAGCGGGAGCTCCTACTACGGGGGGGTGCGGTCCGGGGATTTCACCTCGAGACTCCTCCGATACTCCGTACCAGACCAGTATGTAAAATTGGGGTTACCCCCCCCCTTCCCTTCTCGGTCTCTGGGCGGATGAAGACACCTCCAGTAGTAGTAAGGACTACTACTACTACTAGGCTCAGGTCGGGTGAGTCCACCGCAAGATCCAATTTACTTTAAAAACGCCAAATGGTACGGGAACCGAAAAATACCGAGGTGGGGATGATCAAGCGATTTCCGTGGCAAATCGTAGCTTACCTAGCTGGAGGAGCGAAGACGGAGTGCCAAAAAGGAAAGACAATATTAGTAGGTAGTCTAAAGCCAGGCAGGTGTAAGCAGTCAGACGGTGGTTGACGGGCGCAGGGAAAAAGGAACTAATGCGGGCTGGCAGATGGCAATGAATTCTAGCGCCTACTACGGAGTAGACTACGGAGGGTACTGTAAGGGGGGTGGGAAGATGGCGCATTGAATGATACAATCAATCCCATCATTCATTCATTGATTCTGTTGCCCTCACTCTGCATAACAGTCACCAGAATATCCCGTGTATGATGTAGTTCCATGCGCATACACGCTGGTGATCTACAAAGGTAGGTTTGTTATTGCTTCTGTCATCATGGTGCAGAAGGCAAAAAAAATAAATAAAATAAAATAAGAAAGATGAGTGGTGTAAGAGTGAGTGGCTTACGTCGACTATTTGTGGATTGGATTGTTGTCGGGCTTGTAGTTAGTTTGGCAGCAGGGTTTCTGACTTGTCTCAGAGTAGAAAGCGTTTCCATCCGCTCATTGTATTGAAAGGGAGGGAGGGTGGAATGGAGAGAGAAAAGAGAGATTGGCCATTTTTCCCAATTACCAGAGAGGCCGGACTGTACTTCACCTCCAGCCGGGGATTTGTTCTAGAGAAGGAGATAAGACTAGCGCCGACCAATCAACATGATGGTTTTACAACCTTCCGCAGAAAGATTAGGTTTTGGCTACGTCAAGATCCAGGCCGGTGGGGCCCGGGCCAAAAAGAAGAAAAAGGGAAACAGAAAAAGGTTGTCCGCTGACGGCGCTAGTGGGAGTCTACTGGGTACTTTGTTCCGTATCGTGCCGTAATGCTGGTTCCCTTCGTTCACTCAATACGAGAATCAACGAGTTGTGGTATTCAATCACATTACGGGACGCAACATTGTAGTAGTAGTAAGTAGTTTCCAAGGAGTTTCCATTGTATTAATGCACTGCCTCCAAGTGGGCTTGAAATGTTTCTCCCATCACGCAAAGCTCCATTCAAGTCTGCCGCACAACTCTTAATTACAAATTGACCCATCGGGTGAGAGAACTGGCCGGCCATCCACCAAGAGGGTTGGCTGGCATACCCAGTCAGAAGAGGACCCAGAGTGCTGCTGTTGGAGAGGTTGGCTCAACCGTAACATGATCGTCCTGGTGGTGATACCTACGTCGGTCCACAAATAGAAGAATTAGATGGCTCTGGGTGGCCTGTTCCACTTCAGTCTAATGGGATCATAAGTCACCATCCTGTGGTCCAATGCACGAAGCCCATCAATGCGACAACAAATCAGTATCGATTCCTTATTGTCTTATTTCTTGAGCGCTAATATGTATATGCTCGCATGATCCTTGCTGATCGTGACGGCCATGATCTCAACTTAACTCAATCCTATTCATCAGTTGTTCGCAAGTCTTCGTTCATATGAGCCACAGTGTGCCTTGAGTGTTGCAAGCACTGCTGGCTAAAAGAATACTTGCAATATGCTAGTGGGAGTGTATACAACTAATAGGTTGAAAGTACCGAGTAGTAGCCCCATAAGACACGCCAAGCGTTCCGTACCTACTAAATATTTGGAGCATCGCATATACAAGAGAGCCCATCTCCGTGCCCGTGTGCCAGACATGGCTAGGGTGGGCAAACAAACGTGACACCGGGCTACACGATTCGCAGTTTCTCCTTCTTCCTCCAACTGTTCGACGAGAGCAGAAGGGAGAGGGCCCAGTTGGATAACATAATTGGGCGTTGTAGGGGTGGGGCAACGCAGGGATACAGTGCTTATCCCCGATTCTGTCCCAATCAGTTGGTCGGCCTGTGCTGAAAGTGCGTTGCTGCACATGGTAAGTCATCCCCAAGTGGCCTGGTAAACCCGGGAAAGAGGACAATTCCGGCGGGAGAGCGAAAGAAATAAATAAATAAAATAAAATAATAATGAGTTACTGAAGAAGCAATCCTATTTCTTACTCCAAAATTGCTTGGCAGGCACTGGGCGTTACATTAGAACAGTAAGGAGATCAAGTCTCCAAGTCGATTATTTCTATGTATAACAGAAAACTCCAGATCGTCCTGGGAATTGAACTCTTGTAGTCATAGTAATTGGGATGTAGTCATAGGAATTGAAGAAGTGGGTGGCCCCTACGGTGTGTGTCAGTATACCCTTATTAAGTACACGGCCCGCAAGTGAGCTCTGCCTACATCGTATACCACAAGGAATACGGAGTGGTAAGGTGCATTAATAGGTTGCTGACTCGCTTCCCCGAGAAAATTAGGCAGTAAATTGCATGGTGCATAAATCTGCCGCCTAAACATCTTTGGGAAGTTGATCAATCGGAAACAGTAAAAAGAAAAAAGAAAAAAGAGAAAGGGAAAAAGGGACAGGGCAAAACAATCTGCACACGCGGCCTGCAACTTGCAAGAGGACTGCAACCGAAGGACTTTTGACCCAGGCGCTAAGCGGTGCATTGGGCAATAGATGATCTCGTCCGTGGGCTACTCTCTAGACCAAGGAGAGCCCTAACAGAAAGACACGCTTCTTTCTGCTCATCCCAACTTAAGCCATTAAGACCTCCGAACTAAAACTCGCATACCCCACGCTGAGGTGCAGGTGGTCGGGCGATCAGTGGTAAGCTGGTAAGTTTGCCCGTTACTAGCGTATACGTTGTTGTAACCGGTATATGTATTTTTTGGCCAGGTGGAATGGTGGGTATAATTTACTGGCACGGAGCGGTACCACTCACCTCAGCAATAGAAGCATGGCTGAGGTGCTGTTGTCCGCCCACCCATTCTTTTGGTTCCCGTCAGCCCAACCTTTCCGACAACGGCCAAGCTAGGCGCCTTTCCCTATCCGTCCCGGAATCCCTCCTCCCTCTCTCTCTTCCCTCCCTCCCTCCCAAAATTACCAACCCCTCTCCGAGCCACGTTCCCTCTAGGCTGCCTTCTCGCTGCTCTGTTACATTCACCCGTAGCTTACTGTCTAGTAGCTTTTCCGTACCCCTGCCCCGCCGATTTCGGGGCCCGCGACTGCCCCGAGACGCACCTTGCATTTCCAAGAATGCCTGTGGGTTCGACCCGGTCGAATTTCTCAAGCTCATTTCTTGAGGTCATCCAAACCCTCTTATCAGTCACCCTCTTCAAATAGCCACATTCTTACTCGACGCCCATCTATCCATCTGGCATCTAGACGTCCCATCCGTAGATCGTTTGAAACCTTCCATTGACCCAAACCTAGGACGATTTTCTGGGGAAAATCCACCCTCCCCGTGAAATGATTCCCATGTGCTTGTCCGGGACCCCGGGCAGGACTGAACGGACGGAGTAGGAGTAGGACCGTGGCCGTTGATTGGGCCCCGACCAATGAACATGCAGGAAGAACACACACCAACATCCCCGGAAATACGAGCGGTACCAAGCCGGTATGGCTCTTATTTCACTGGGTAAATTCAGGTCGGGATCTGACCATACTAACTTATCCTTTCACCAGCTATCGAACTAACCTTTCCCTATCCTTTCCCCTCCTCCTTCTTCCCCTTCGGAATAATCACGGGATGTTTTATGCTGGCTAACTCGGAACCCTGGCCCGATAAGAGCTTATTTATTCGACAAATAATAGCATGAGTATGATTATGGTAATACATAAATCAATTGATTTCCAATCTCCCACTCACTTCCACCCCCTCCCCCCGTCTGAGTTGCCTGGACGATGTTGTGTTCACCTTCTACTGGCTGACAGAACAATGGATCCCACCATGCCAGACTGGCCGCCAATTTCTGTTTCCCCTCGTCTATGGAGTAAATCCTTATTAATCGTTGTTGCTATACTTCGGGAAATTTGGAGCCAAGTAGGAGGAGTCCGTCAGTTCGCATGAGTACGAGGGGTGGCCCGATTGGGGGCCTAGGTTTACGGCTTCAGGCGTGAGCTCCCCGGGATGGACTTGCTTGGGACAAATGATTGATAGTACGGTTCCTTCCTTTCCCCTCTGAATGTTTGGAACTCTCGGCCGATCTGCGAGGGCCGAAGATATTCACCTATCCTCTCTCTGATTCAGCTTTTCCTCCAATAGCCAAGCAATAGCTCCTAATAGGCGTGTCCTGGCGCCTCGCTAATCATTGGTCCTCTTCGATTGACTTGGGAGGCACAAGAGGGATGGAATGACTCGGGGCTGTGGAATGATCGCTAATTACAAGATAGCGCCTGGTGCATTGCTGGGAAATTAATTGAGAAACGAAGGATTACGCAGCAAAGCTGCCGTGTTACCTCTAGCCCCAGAGGTGCAACTCTGCTGTTCCGATTTTCCCCCTTCGCGTATCCATCTCAAGCCTCGTTTCTGGCCAGCCTTTGGCAGTCCTGCAGATTGAAGATCCGCTTTGGAGCGACGGGCATCACATGACCGAGCGGAGATGCCAATGTTTCCGGTGTCCGTTTTCTCCCGATCCTTCCTGTTCAGGCTTGTCCGCTTTGGGCTCACCGAATGTGACCTTGACGATGGAGCGGGAGCCTGTAACCTCTCGGGACTTTTCGGGCCTGGCAAACGGAAGCGACCGAAAACCGGGCAGGAGGGTGTTTCTAGCAGCAGGTCGGTTTTCGTGATTACAGGAACAAACAACACCAGTAGCATCCGGTAAGGTACCAAATGATTTGGTTTGGTCGGTCTTCATGCAGTATCGAATAAATTACAGCGTGACTCTGATTCATCTCCGCTGCAGAGTCACCACCGACCCAGTAAATTGTCTCCATCTAACTGGTTGGCATCTGGATCTACTACTGTGTAATCTTCCGGGCTATCCTGGCTACTTCTGCCCTGCTACTGCCACAGCCTTTTTTTTTTTACTGAAGAAGACGCTGCACTCCTGCAGAGGGACATTGGCGAAGATGTCAGATCAACATCCACGGCTGTGTGAATTGGTGGAGCAGAGTAGTCCGTCCATGGCCTGATTGTCTCCACGACTGGCTGTTGCTGCTTTGCACACTTTGTACAGCTGGCTAGGCTCATGCTTCAGGTGATCTCAGTGCAGTTATACTCTGCAAGACTACGGAGAACCCCGGATGCCTTACTGTGGGCTGATGCGGGCCTTGGTGCGGAGAGAGTGTGAGAGATAGATACATGCACCCGCTGCTGTTCATGAGTCTTTGTTTCTGGCCTAATTGGTGCGACACATTGAAGCAGACAGAGTGACCGCATGAGAGTTTGGCTTGCTTACGGCGAGTCCAGAGTCAAGCCTCTGTCTACGTGCTGCAATGCAGACAGCCAGCAGCAATGTCAATATGCACGGTGCACCAATCAGCAACGGGGAATAATGGTCTTTACCCGCACGTTTGGAGGGACGGATATTTGTCCGTGGGTTTGGAGTAGATAAGTAGTAGTTTCGAGACATGAGTCACTAGTTGATAAGCAAGACTCCTAGGGTGAATACAGCGTTGTTAGACAGACAGTCTGTCTCACAACACGAGGCCGACGCTAGGATGGAACTGCAGGATAGTCTATGTTTATGAGGGTAAGGCTAATTAATAGTAGTTCACAAGAATCCTTCATCTAGTAGTACTAGACTAGTATGAAAACCCCGCTTAACACACAATACTAATACTAAAGTACCCTGCAGCCCATTTTCCTGTCGCCAAATCATGGGCAATTTAGATAGTAATACCATTACTTCGTACAGTCGGAGGTATGAAGTAGTTCACAATCGTGAATTGAGTCTCACAATATATATAATCAACTAGGCAGTATAATGCAAGTGCCATTGACTCCAGGTTAATTCCACAACCGACTCTATATATATATGTATATGTATACTGATTGTTAATGTACATAAAAGGTTACACAGATCTCAATCTTGCTGCGTGACCAGTTCGCCAGTGGAAAAGATATCAGACGCAGCATCCTGCCAGATGCGGTAAGCCAGGAGATCCCCGCGCGGGAGCTTGTCTGCTTTTGTTTTGGTTTCCCCTCTCGACCTCTCCGATTTCTCCAATTCTACTTCTTCCTCTCCAACCAGATCAAGATCACTCTGCAGCCATCTACCAAAGTTCTCTGCTACGGATCTCGCCTCACAATTAAGCTTGATCGTTTTCCGATACAATTGCCTAGCTGGTCTTGCGCATGACGACGGAACAACCCAGGCGCAGAACCACCTCACGATAAACCTACCCGACACAGATATAGAGTGCGAACCACGCGAGCTTCATTCCATCTATACCATTACATTCATACATAACGATTCAATTGATCTGGGCGACCGCTTCCCTGTCCCCTAAACATTAGCTCGCGCTAGCACCACCAACCACAATGCTCTCCCTTCCACTCATCACACCTCGCGATGTACGTGCCATCGGCTTCTGCGAATTCTCCACAATACCACCCTTGATCTCCCATTGACGTGCATCCTTGGCTAATTCACCTCTGTTATAGTCTCATGAACTCTGGTTCGGCTCCTCACAACCCTACCGAACCTCCTCCCAGCACCAGCCTTCCGCCGGAGAAACACAACCACATGCCCGCCGCAATGGCTCTACTGCGCTAGGCGGACGTGCCTCAGCCGCTGCCTCAGGAAATATGCTTTCATCCCTCCTCCTGGAAGAGCGTGCTCTACGTGCGCGCAAGAACAATATTGCCTCGTTCGGATACTCGTGGATCAGGCCGGCCGGGTGTCCCAAGACTATGCTGGGCATGAAAGAGGAGGAGGCGGAACGCGAAGAGGCGCTGGCCGCCGCAGCGGCAGAGAGAGCAGCGGCAGCGGCAGCAGCGGAGGTGGGCGTGGATGGATTAGACGAGCTCGGGAACCAGACACAGGGTACTTTTGATGGCGATGGCCAGGATGACACAGGCATGGAAAGAGATCTGGACGACGATATCCCCGACGCGGATGCAGATGGGCTGGTCGAGGAAGGCGAGGAAGGGCTGGAAGAGGAGGATGTCGTGGATGAGGGAGAATACATGGAGCGTGATCTAGACGATGACATTCCGGAGGCATTCCCGGATGATGACGAGCTCGAAGAGGAAGAAGACTTGGAGGAAGAAAATGACGACTTCGACAATCAGCCGGACCTGGATAACGATATCCCCAGCGCGGCCGAAGAAGATTATGATGACGAGGGTATGAGCGAAGGGGAGGAAGATATGGGTCGGGACCTGGATGATGACATCCCTGAGGCAGTCGAGGACCGGTCAGAGCAGGAAGAGGAATGGCAACACACCGACACCGATGTGGAATTTGACGATGAGGAGGATGTCAGCTTCTCGCAAGACCCCTTCTCGCTGAGCTTCCGCGCCAGTACAACTAGCAGTCGAGGCCTGCCACCGCCTATTCGGCGGGAGAGAGAAACCGAAGCCCAACGACGGTTCTTACAGCGGTGGAGTGGAGGTGGTGATGCCTTTGACACTAGCAGCATGCTCGTCGACGATGAGGACCTTCGCGCTTCTTTGACCAGTCAGAGCAGCCGACGGAGTTTCTTTAGTCGGTTCCCTAGACGGCGCATGGGAGGGCCCAGAGACAGTCTCGAGTGATGACAAGTTCAATTAATACATGCATTAGTGTACTATAATTCTCAGGGACAGGTTATGGAATCCTCGGTTATCGTGAAAGGGTGGGATGACTGACGGTGTTTATATAATTGCATGGAGCCGAGGACGGCGTTTTGGGCCCATACAGGATTTCAAAGACTTATGTTTTAGTTCTACTACCACGCATGATACAATAACCTTGAAAGTAGCAGTCAAGAACAAATATCTATCGTATCGCAAGCAAAAAAAATGTCCAATCAGATATATGTAGATAGGTAGGTAGGTGACATAATGGGTATGAAATTATTATACAATACATCTCATATATCATTGTACAGCATAAGAGCGGTTGCCGGCCTATGTATGGCGAACAAACCGAGCCAGCAAGCATTCATAACATAATCTCAGAGCCCCAAACTCCCAAGCATGCACCATCATCGGTAGACTACAAGAACGCAACAATCATGAATGGCTAGCCGGATAGGGCTGTTGGTCGCGGGAGGAAGAAGAAGAAAGGATATGCTCCTATAGGCCGCTTATGTGCAAAGATGCTAATTATGTCGATGTCGAAGAAACGTCCCTGCCCTCAAGTCATGGGTTCTGTGGGTAAGGGGCTGGGCGGATTAAGGGGAAGGGATTGACACAACTGTGTCCCTGTATATGGATATATAGCCCAAGGTCATGGCCCTCTGCTATACAGCCATGCCAAGAGAAAACCGTTGCACCGGGCCAAAAGAGTTCTCGAAATATCATGCTTGGCTAGATTAGCAGCAGCAACATGCCCCGTCCCTCACGTCAGCCAGACGTAGAAAAAGAGCAGGAAGACGGCGAAGAAGAAAGCGAGCCACACTTTCCAGCTAACGCCGGTGCGCTCTGCCATCCGCAACATACGGTTCATGTTTCCGCGGAGACGAACACGGGTGTTTTCGAATGTGTTGTTGAGGTCTGATATGGTGGAGGTATCCCGGATCTCGTCGCCAATAGCAACCGTGAGCTACCATTGGGGTATCAGCATGTGTACAACCAGACTTGACGAGCGGAAAAAGTAGCTCACATCTTTCAGCATCTTGACCTTGGCGCTGATTCCTTCGACCTCTGCATCATTTTGAGACTCTAGATGGGAAAGTACAGCGTCGGAGTAATGACCCCTATAAACCGGAAGTGTGAGCTACTTGCACGGGAAGATCCAAATACAGCTTCTCTCCCCATTGTTGGAAGGACATACTTGGCGTTCGGGGTCGCAGACCGAAATCCACCCCTGGTGTTGCCATTCACAGAGCTGTCCCCGGCTGGGGGCGTGTATCCTCCATACCCGTAACCACCTACGCTGCCCGGGGATTTACTGGAGGGTCGGGAACCGCCACCGTATGAATCAAAAAGGGACGAGGAGGCACGAGGATCGCGCTGGTGTAGGTTGGAACGTGGGAATCTACATGCAGGCCAGTAATTAGTATGAGCTGGGGTATCTGGGGAAGGACAGATGGATTAACGTCAACATACCGTGAAGCCATAACAGATCGTTAGATTATTATTTGTATAAGAGGGACAGGGTAAAATATAGTAGAGGAGGCGATCACAGCCAGCGGGAGCACATGTCGCAAAAAGGAGGCCCTAGGAAATCAGGGGAAAGATGGGTGAGCGAGCAGGCTCTCGAGGAGAGGAAGAAGTGAGGATAATTCGCGGCGGAGAGCTACTAGCTGGCCCCCATCCCCGGAGACCACGGGGTAGCTCACGTGACTCTCTAGGAAATACAATCTAGCAAGTGTGAACTCTACATGATGAAACAAGTGGTTGTACAATGTACATGGATTCTTTTTATTATCGGCATATTTCCATATAGATCTCCTCCACAGATCATGAATTATATTTGGCATGGAGGTGATATCTCAGTTGAACCCAATTGCGAGGCGATAGTTGCAGCCGAACCTGGCCCAAATAGAAAAAAGGTCCAGGGTGTGCTTATCGGCAAAACTTTGGTAGGGAAAAGAACGCATAGGCAACCATAATGATCCGTATCCATCCCAAGACCTGGAAAAGAAAATCATCATAATATGATTAAGAGGTGAAAGTGTAACCGGCATGAAGGAACCGAAAAAAAACCCTCAAAACAGACCCTGCGCCTATCCATCCCAATTCCCATGTGCGCTCGCCGCCCCTAAGTTGTGTGTTGGTATTGTCGTAGCTCGATCCAGAAACCTAATCCTGCATCTTGTTGTCCTCATCGTCATCACCAGCGCCGACGTAGTCGTCGTCCTCATCGTCGTCCTCGTCCATGCCATCATCCTTCAAACTCTCGGCGGCGGCTTGGAAGTCAATGGTCTTGCCGCGTGTACGGCGGCCACCAGAGATGATGTTATCAGAAGAGATGGGTTCCAGGGTGTCATTGTCTTCATCGTCATCTGGCAGTCAAGATGCGCAGTTAGTATGGGGTTCGAGCTAGGGAGGACAAGACCCGTGTCCAATTGACGGACGAAGGAAATCAGGGCATCATACCATCATCGATCTAAGGGAACAGAAAGCAGGCCAGTTAGCTTAACATGTCTCTTTTTTTATATGATGATCTAGCTAGTGGGTAGTATGAGACTCACCATTTCTTCGGCCTCGCTCTCATCACTCTCATCATCGTCCATGCGCATGTCTTGAGTGGGGTCTGTCGCCTTGCCCTTGCCCTTGTCCCAAGCAGCAGCATCGGGAGCATTGGCGGCAGGGTCAAAACCCGTGGTAGCTTGGTTGTTGTCACCCATGATGAATGAAGAAGAGTAGTACACAGAAGTGTTTCTGAAGGGGATTGGTAGGAGAGTCGGAAGTAAGTAGAAAAGAAACACCCCAAAAGAAGAGAAAAATTCGCAAGGAACAGGAAATGCGAATTCAGGGGGATAGCAGGAAGCGTGGAGTTTAAGTAGGCAGCGGTGTCAAGGGCAGCGAGGATAACTCTCTCGTTCTCTTTCTCTCTCTCTAGGCCAGATCAGTTCCTGTCGCAAGGGGAGATTCACCTCGGCGGGCATTGGAGCGATGATTGGTTGCCAGGGGTGGCGATCAGCTGCAGCTCCCGTGATGGGGCTTTGCCCTGTTGGGAGGGCTCATAACAAACAATGCAGAAGTTCTGGTCCGGAAATCAAGGGAGTTGCCATTTTGTTTCCTATGTTCAGGCATAATAACTACAAATGGATATGAGATTCGGTCTACTAGGACTGCTGCAACTTGGCAGAGTGACAAACAACAGAAGTCTTGTTTGAAATGTAGTGCAGCGGCGGTTTCTCAGACAACGGAATTTGATCGCGGGGAAGATTCAGCAGCAGGGGTAGCTGGAGTGGAAGTTCTCAAGAGATGGATACAGCTACAAATTGAGGAAATAATATTAGTTGGAATGGATTGACCTCTTCCAGAAGACATGCTTAGAGATTACTGCTGGAGTGATGTCTTCTACTGCAGAGGAGCTGGGATAAGTAATGTTGTGTCAGGTACAACCGTGAGAGGGACTCGGATCATGTGACTGTTCTGGACTGGCCAGAATCCGTAGGAAAGAAAAGAACAAGAATGGAAGAATGGAAAATCCATCGAAATTCTCCGAAGAGAACGAAAGAGGAGAAACAATACTGTCCGGCGTCATTATGACGGCCTCTATTCTGCCCAATTCCATGGGTGTCCAAAAACTTGCCCCCCAAACAAGGTCAGAATTGAGGACAGTGAGAGTAAGCTATGTTAGGGTACAGCACTTCCTACACTTCCTACTATCTACAGAACCTCAGGTTACGAATTGAAGAGGGGGGATTGGGCGACAGTCCATTGGAATTCATCCTTTGGAAAACAGTTTAGTATCGGAGATAAAACACGACTACGACTACTACTAACACAGTAAACTAAGAATAACTCAAAATAGTGAATTACACGCGAGTGAGTCATGGCTTGTGAACCAGAAAAAGTGAAATAAAATTAAAACATGTCAAAGAAAATTCGGATTCTGCCCATTACGTCATCCGGATTACCCCGCCAACCGCCCACCAAAAAAAATCCCCTCAGAAAGTCATTCTAGATCTATCTTCAAGCTGCAGAGAGTCGATCGGAGCAAGATAGAGAGAGACAGAGACAGTAACTAGTGTAGATAGTAGCTCGTAGACCACAGCTAGTTTCCCCCCAGATCATGCCAGTGCCTTCCCCTTATCCTGACCAAGTGAATTCTCGAAGGGTCGAGTGAATCCTGGGCAGGACTGGGGCGCGGATGGAAGCCAGTCGAACCCGATGGATGCCCATCGAAACGGGCAATTGCTAGAAGCTTCGCTGGAGCAGCAGCTCACCGCCCGCCACTATATCAGCTTTCGCTCTCGCACAAATTCTCGCCCTCTTGATTTCTTTTCTCCATCAATCTCTTCCTCTTTATACCCCATTCCTCCAATTCTTCTCTCTTGTGTTTTGTACACTACTCTCTTAACGAATTCCTTTCTCCTCTTCTCTCTCCCTTAACGAAACTACTCCTCTTCTTCATACACATACACACATACACACATTCATCATGGCCCCCGCTGTTGGTATCGATTTGGGAACCACCTACTCCTGTGTGGGTGTCTTCCGTGATGACCGCATTGAAATCATCGCCAACGACCAGGGTAACCGCACTACCCCCTCTTTCGTGGCTTTCACCGACACCGAGCGTCTCATCGGTGATGCCGCCAAGAACCAGGTCGCCATGAACCCTCACAACACCGTCTTCGATGCTAAGCGTCTGATCGGTCGTCGTTTTGCCGACGCTGAGGTCCAGTCTGACATGAAGCACTGGCCCTTCAAGGTTGTCGAGAAGGGTGGCAAGCCCATCGTCGAGGTTGAGTTCAAGGGCGAGACCAAGCAGTTCACCCCCGAGGAGGTCTCCTCCATGATCCTCACCAAGATGCGTGAGACCGCTGAGGCCTACCTCGGTGGCACCGTCAACAACGCTGTCATCACTGTCCCCGCCTACTTCAACGACTCTCAGCGTCAGGCCACCAAGGATGCTGGTCTCATTGCCGGCCTGAACGTTCTCCGTATCATCAACGAGCCCACCGCTGCTGCCATTGCCTACGGTCTGGACAAGAAGGCCGAGGGTGAGCGCAACGTCCTCATCTTCGATCTTGGTGGTGGTACCTTCGATGTCTCCCTCCTGACCATTGAGGAGGGTATCTTCGAGGTCAAGGCCACCGCTGGTGACACTCACTTGGGTGGTGAGGACTTCGACAACCGCCTCGTCAACCACTTCGTCAACGAGTTCAAGCGCAAGCACAAGAAGGACCTCACCTCCAACGCTCGTGCTCTCCGTCGTCTCCGCACCGCTTGCGAGCGTGCCAAGCGTACCCTCTCTTCCGCTGCCCAGACCTCCATTGAGATCGACTCTCTCTTCGAGGGTATCGACTTCTACACCTCCATCACCCGTGCTCGTTTCGAGGAGCTCTGCCAGGACCTCTTCCGTTCCACCATGGAGCCCGTCGAGCGTGTCCTCCGTGACGCCAAGATCGACAAGTCCTCCGTCCACGAGATCGTCCTGGTCGGTGGTTCCACCCGTATCCCCAAGATCCAGCGTCTCGTCAGTGACTTCTTCAACAAGGACGCCAACAAGTCCATCAACCCCGATGAGGCCGTTGCCTACGGTGCTGCCGTCCAGGCTGCTATCCTGTCTGGTGACACTTCCTCCAAGTCCACCAACGAGATCCTCCTGCTCGACGTTGCCCCTCTCTCCCTCGGTATCGAGACCGCTGGTGGTGTCATGACTGCTCTCATCAAGCGCAACACCACCATCCCCACCAAGAAGTCCGAGACCTTCTCCACCTACTCCGACAACCAGCCCGGTGTCTTGATTCAGGTCTACGAGGGTGAGCGTGCCCGTACCAAGGACAACAACCTGCTCGGCAAGTTCGAGCTCACTGGCATCCCCCCCGCCCCCCGTGGTGTTCCCCAGATTGAGGTCACCTTCGACCTTGATGCCAACGGAATCATGAACGTCTCTGCCATCGAGAAGGGTACTGGCAAGACCAACAAGATCACCATCACCAACGACAAGGGCCGTCTCTCCAAGGAGGAGATCGAGCGCATGCTTGCCGAGGCCGAGAAGTTCAAGGCTGAGGACGAGGCTGAGGCTTCCCGTATCCAGGCCAAGAACGGTCTCGAGTCCTACGCTTACTCCCTCAAGAACACCATCAACGAGGGCAAGCTCACCATCAGCGATGAGGACAAGCAGAAGGTCACCGCCAAGGTTGACGAGGTCATCAGCTGGCTCGACAGCAACCAGACCGCCGAGAAGGACGAGTACGAGGCTCAGCAGAAGGAGCTTGAGGGGTATGTTCATTCCTTTTCCCCATCTTAACCATATTGAATCATGACGCTAACTTTGACTTTTACAGTGTTGCCAACCCCATCATCTCCGCTGCCTACGGTGGTGCCGCTGGTGCCGCCCCCGGCGGTGCTGCCCCCGGTGCTACCCGCACTGCTGACGAGGTCGAGGAGCGCCCTGAGGAGCTCGACTAAATGCTTTAAAAAGCTGCGGTCTCGATTCTTTTCTTGTCTTTCTTCATTATACCTCCAGCCGTTTTGCAGATAGGCGAGCGGTTTTAATGGATTTGCTTGTTTCTTTTTCCTAGTATCATGTTAACGAATTTATGGGAATCACTTTTCTTTGTCTATGCATAGATTCGAGTTGCTAGTTGTTACTGCATGATGACTTGCTCTGCAGACTATGGGAGGGAAAAAGTTTCCTTTCGACCAATACATTACTTTAATTCAATTCGTGCAATTGTAGAATGCATCGACTGCATCGTGCTTAGGGCATGCTCACTTCAAAGTCTACTTCGAAGTTGATACTTGTAATCCGATAAGAAATATCCAATGTGGACCTTATGCGTAATTTAGCAGAACATACTTTATCACACATCCCGTGCACATATCAATCATCGCATCATATATTCAGTAGACATCGCTGATTCCCAATACAACAAACAGCATGATATAATAAACCCCTCAACGCCCTAAGCCCACCCACCCATAATATACAGTTCATCCATCCCATATGGAATATCCACATATCCAACCCATGTCTTCACAGGACCAAGACCACAAACACACTCCCACACCAGTCCTTCACGGCCCTACACACCACTATCCATATCATAAGTATCATACCCCAGCACGAACCCCCAACACAGCGATAAAAGAAGGGCTGGAGTAATACAGAGAGGGAAATCAAGATTACAATCCCTCAAAGTCCCCTGCCCACCACCTCCTCACTCTCCCCGCGCCCACCGAAACCACATGCCCAATGCCAATATCCTTAGCCTGTTCGGGGAACTTTTCGCGCTGGTCGCGTTGAATGCGCAATAACGCCGCCGAGGTGCCGATGGTGAGGGCGAAGATGGGGTCTGCGATTCTGTTTTTATCATTTCATTCATTCATTAGTAAATGGATATTTTTCTTATATGTATGATCTTGAGGATTGCTGGGTGATTGTTTGAGTGGGTGTATGTGATCGGTCAATTAAGTCAAGGAAGAGAGGCAGAGGGATTATTGCGATGCGATGTCGGATTGAAATTAGGTGGGTAGGTGGATGGGTAGAGGTGCATGCATGCATGCGGTATGAGGGATTTATAGGATATATGTGCTAGGTGACGACGTACTTGGAGATTAGGTAGACTGGCATTTTGGGCGGCTTGTCTCTGCAGGTTTTGGTTGGTGGGAAATGTGAGCGGGGATGAAGATGAGTTGTAGACTTGAGATGAGTAGTTTGAAGCTGTAGCTGGTGCAACTCCGCAGCGGATGTGAGGGGTCACGTGATAGATGGGCTGGTTGAGGTGTATCTTCGATTCAGGTTGGTGATGAATAGTGCCTGTCGAGCGGTAAATGGCAGTTTGCTATTGCTACTGATGTTGCTGCGAATCTGGTGGTTGGTCGATATGTAGCTAGCCACCCTGGACGTTTGGTCCCTACAGTGTCATTGTCTCAGATACGGCTGCAGCCAGAAGTAGAACGGCCTGTCGCATGTGCAGTACAATACTTGAGCAGATACAGAAAACTGGCATCTACTACTGGCATGATTCATAATTAAGAGGAGTTGTATTTCGTATCCAAGAGCATACCATCTTGCACCCATCATCCGGAACAGTGCCGAAGGGAAAAAGAGTCTATCATAAATACACAAAGGCTTAACAGAATGAATGCTCTATAACAGCACCAAAACAAAGCCCCGAATCGAACATAAAAAGTAATAATATCAAAATAACCCCGGATATGGGTAGAACATGAGAAAGACACTCACTTTTTGGATCAGCTAATCATCAACATCTTAAACGACCTGGCCAAAGGCGGGGATCAACGTCTGAGCCAGCCAGAAGCTGAAAACGAGCTTGGGTCCGGTCATCAGGAGCTTGGGCGTAAGACCCTTGAAGAAACTGGTGACACCCTCGTTCTTGACCATGTTGGACAGAATGCGGAAGCCGGACTCGGGGTTCTCGAAGTTGCGGTTCTGAATACGGGTCTTGATCACATCCAGAGGAGCTGACACGACCAGGGAGGCACTGGCACCGCAGATGGAGGCAACAAAGTTCTGGCTCCAGGAAGCAGTGTTGTAGTCCTTCAGGTTGTAGATGTACTCCTTGGCGAAAGCGGAACCACCGAAGAGCTATTTCCAGGCATTAGTATCGGACACCCACACATGGCAAAGAAGGCAAATATCGGAACCATGGGAACATACAGCGAAAGATCCGGGAGCGTTACGGGCGGCAGTCCAACCAGCACCACGGTAGAGACCCATACCCTCATCGGAGATGATCTTGAACAGACCACGGCCACGGAAAGCCTCGGGGTTAGTCTGACGCTTGATCTTGAGGACGTCCAGGGGCAGAAGGACGATCTCTCCGATACCGATCAAACTATTTCCATATGATTAGCCAGAGCATTACTATCAATGGCCGGAACACGAAACGAACCTTCCAGCAGTGGCGTGCATGATGGCCTTGCCGGTACCCTTGCCAAAAGCATTGTCAAAGTCGGAACCCCAGTGCTGGGCGAGGTAGTCGCGAGCGAAAGGCTGACCACCGTACTTGTAGATACGCTGGAGAACCTTGTAACCGGCGGCGTAACCCAGACCGGGGAAGAGAGAGGTGAACTTGCCGCCGAAAGAGGCGTTGGCGTATTCCTTGAAGACAACCTGGTTCAGACCAGCGGTGGAGGTGATCTAAGCCAGCGCACAATTAGTCCAATGCATTTCCATAGTCTCGTATGGATAAGGGATAGGAAGAATCGTACCCGGGTCTGGTTGCTCATCAAGCGCTTGGAGATGGTATCAACCTGGTCGATGAGTCAGTTTCACATTTCTCCCGCCGAGAGAGCGCAAGCGGTGCGCAAATATTCGAGAGGGTAGGATGTAATCGTACAGGGTGGAAGACCATCAGCTCCGCAATTCCGGCGGTTCCTGAGAACGAAAGTTAGATATTGAGTGCAACCCAGGACCTGGACACAAAACGGGTGTGACACATACCGGAACCCAGAAGACGAGCAGTCGCGGATTCTCTCTTAACATCCTTAGCGGCAGAGCCGGCACCGGCTTGGACCATAGCGGGAGACATCTTGATTATGGGAATTGGGCTGAGTTGGGCGTAGTCGGGGCAGGAATTGGCGAGTATAAAATTTTCCGGGCCTGAGGCTTCTTTTCCGTCGGGGAGATGAAAAGGCGATTCAGAAGGAAAGAGGAAGGACGGGAAGATTTATATATAAGCCAGAAATGCCAACAAAGACAGGACAAGAGACCACAGCCGGGGCCAGGCAATGCAGCACAGAAAAGGATGATAGGGAAGGCGGATGCAGGAAGAGGGAGGGGGGAAAGGAAAAGAGCAAGAGGAAGAGGAAGAGACCGAGAAGATGGACTGAGTGACTGTTTCTGCGCCGACTCGGAACCGCTCCAAGCGTCGCGGCCGGTGCATTCAACGCCACTAGCCCCCTTTGGGTCTGGCACCACCGGCCCTGGATCGGAGCGGCCCTGATTATCTCAGCAGCCGGTGATAAACTAACTGGTTTGAGATAATTAGTTAGTTATCTAAACTACTAATTCGTTCGATTATAACTAGTTATTCCATGGTCCAAGGAAGTATGTAGTAGCTTGTGCACTCCTGGCACATCTTATCCATCTAAATCTACGAGCACAAGACAGGCTTCCAGCAAATGCCAACGATTGTTTCTCATTTAAACTATCATCTGAAGAATACTCATTTCGCCAAGAGAGTTCACACGAAGATTAATGAAGAGCCCCCAAGATAACGCCCGCGGGTACAGCACAGCATAGAAACATCACAGCGTGGTCGAGCTCGCCATCTATCCAGGTCCTACAGCAACCAACACCCACATCTAGGAAGTTCATCTGCAACTTCCCCAAATTAAGGAAAGGGCAACTGAAGGAAGTGACTTGAAACGATGACGGCAGCGAATTCACTTCAAGAAGCAGGGGAAAAGAAAGAGTGAAACGAGGAGATCGACCAGCGCCTAGCAGTCACCAAACGTATTCTCGCCGGAGTACCTGATAAAGAGAAGATCCGAGTTAGCACTATGCACACAGAACAGTGGTAGTAGGAAATCAGAGGGATCGGCATACGTGATATACAAGAAGCCATCTTCATCCTTGTGCTCTTCGTAGATACTGCTCATGAGAGCGGCCGTAGGCGGCAAAACCTCGTCGACAAAGATAAAGATCGCCTTCTCGGGGGACAGCTTAATCCGCTTACGGATCACGTAGACGAACTGCCCAACGGTAAGGTCGGCAGGGACAAGATACTTCTTCTTGTCGATGGTAGCGATGTCCGATTTCTCGACCTTTTCGCAGATTACCTGTAGGATAGGAGCCGGGTTAGCGACTCGAACAAGCGGTGAGCTAGAGACCCGTTTCTTCCCCCAAAAGACCGTGAAATCAAGATCACAGTAGAAAATAAAACAAAGGATAGACGTACTGGAATGCGATCGGCATATTTCTGACGGATACGCTCGGCCTCTGCCTTGCGCTTCTCAAAGGGGTGCTCGTCCTTAAACTTGGAACGCATATTGATAAGTAGATGAGGGCGGCTAGTAGGTCTGGTCCGACGGGTCCCTTAAGGGGGGAGATAAGTGACGAAATAGACGAAGAGGAGTAAAAAGGGTGACACAGACTAGATGGAAGCTAAGAGATAACAGACAAAAGGTTGAGATGGACGATGGATGGAGGATGGATGGATGGAGAGATAGAGAGATAGATGGATGATGACAAAAAGGTGAGCAGGATGGCAGTTGTAGAGAGAGTTGAAGGCGACAGCCCCGCGTCATTTGGTGAGGGAACGGCTTCCACGGCTGATAAGGCCGCCAGGCAAGCGTGGATCACGGGGTGGAGGCGGTGAGCGGCCCCACACGTGAGTCAGGCCGGGTCATGTGCTGGCTCGATTCGAAGCACATTCGATCATCTTCCGGATATCGAAAGCCAGTCCGTCAGGGCAGTTCCTGTCGTCATTCTGGCACGTGGATGTCGTGCACTCATCCAAATGACCAATGCGGATGATACCGTCTGGTTGTCATCGAGCTGGGCCGCCTTCGATATACTGCATCGGTAGTGAAGTGGTAGCTCGGCGGGCGTTGCCTCCAGCCTCCACTTAGGATCAGCGCCTAGATTATGGGGTTTTCCATGCTAGAATGATCACTGTCTACCGCTCGGTGCAGCACCCACGCCTTCTACACTCTACCAATCTAGTAACTGGTCTTGAGTGACTCAGATCGTTCAATATCTGCCAAGTAACGTAGTTGAATCTACTCTGCTAGTAACTGACACATTTCTTCACTCCTGGAGCAACCCCGCTTGATGTTGTGCTGCTGCCTGGGGATGTTCGGACCGAGGGTGGTAGCCCAGCAAACCATGCAAAGTGCTTATCTCAGCCGGGCCGGGTCCCAAACCCAGACAAACTCAACAACCATAGCAAACCGTGCAAACAAGTTCATATCCTCACGACATTCCGGAATATTGAGGCCGCAGGTGGTCCCATACTGTGCCTCGGAGCCGATGATCTGAACAATTCCTCCATTACCAAATCCCTATCCACTACTGGCTCCAGACCATAGGTGGAGCTCGGAGGGAACAAGGACCGGTTGATTCTCGACAGGCGCAATACCTGGCACCACCTGATCTTTGGCAGATCAGCCAATTCAATTTACTCTCTAACAATGGCTGTTCCCCGGCCATATATGCCTCTTCGGAGGTCGCTCTGCCAATTCTCATCTCGATCCTGTCGCACACCTCGCAACCTCTCAGCGCCCTTTCGCAGATACTCCTCGGAACAGAAGCCTCCTTCCGAACCCAAACCATTCACTGTCTGGAGACCATACCTACGGCTGGCCATTGGTGTGCCCTTTATCGGTGCTTTGGTGTATTCCATGGTAGACCTCACCCACCATATAACTTGCGCGAATGCCTCAACCTGACCATTTCCAATATAGATGACGGAAGAAGTGACCGAACTCGACTCTCCATCCCTCGTGGAGCTCGATGAAACGCTTAAGAAGCAAGCCACAATCAGCGAACAATCTCCCATGCGCCTGCGCATGGAGAAGCTGATCAAAGATCACCAGCAGAAAATCATTGAAGAGCTAAGCCGGATAGATGGAAAGCAATTCAAGACTGATACCTGGACGCGCCCCAACGGCGGAGGTGGAATATCCTGTGTCCTCCAAGACGGAAACGTCTTCGAGAAAGCCGGAGTCAATGTGTCCATCGTCTACGGCGAACTTCCCCGGCCAGCCATTGAGAAGATGCGCGCGGACCACAAGTCCTTCGTCGGCGCCGATGTGGACTCCTTGAGCTTCTTCGCCGCCGGCCTGTCCCTCGTTCTCCACCCCCACAACCCCATGGCCCCAACCGTCCACCTGAACTACCGGTACTTCGAGACATCCGATCCTAAAGACCCCCTCAACGGCGACAAGAACTGGTGGTTCGGTGGCGGCACAGATCTGACCCCAACTTACCTATTCCCCGAAGACGCCAGACATTTCCACCAGACCATCAAAGATGCTTGTGATCGTCACGACGCCACATACTACCCGAAGTTCAAAGCCTGGTGCGATAAGTACTTCTATATCCCCCACCGCCGCGAATGCCGCGGTGTAGGAGGTATCTTCTTCGATGACCTGGACGCCAGCTTCCTCCAGTCCTCGTCGACCTCATCCCAAAATCCCCAAGAGACTCTCTTCTCCTTCGTCTCAGACGGTCTCGCTTCTTTCCTCCCCTCTTATGTCCCCATTATCGAACGCCGGAAGGACATGCCCTTCACGCCTGAGCAAAAGGAATGGCAACAGCTCCGACGCGGTCGCTACGTCGAGTTCAACCTCGTCTATGACCGCGGTACTAGCTTCGGTCTCCGCACTCCTAATGCCCGCATCGAGAGTATTCTGATGAGTTTGCCCCGCACGGCAAGCTGGGCTTACATGGACCCCGTATCGGGAACCCGGACGGAGGATTCCGTAGATGGTGATGAGGCGCTTCTGGGCGAGGGCAAGGAGCGCGAGAAGGAGATCATGGATGTTTTGAAACATCCCAGACAATGGGTGTAATTGCTGCTGAATTAGAGAGATCATCAGCAAGGATTATGGTTTCCTTTCCTTTGAAAAATATGTATTATCTGCATGTATATTACTTTATGAGCTGCATCTATGGGCTACGTCACGTCAAAAGCAGAACTGCCTCTAGAAATCAGGAAGAGAAAAACTTTCAAGATATACACATGTCTAATCCATGCAACAATGCCATAATGGTGCATATGATATGTTTATAATGCCGATCAAGCTCCAACGGAAACCAGGGGGGTAGTAGTAGTCGTAGTAGTTGAGCCGCAACAAGCTGGTATAGCGCGGCGAGCAACGAAAACATATGTATGTAGAAAGAAAAAGGTATAACAACAACAATAACAACAGTCTTGATAACAATGGAAAATGCACATGGCGGGAAAAAAAAAAGGGAAAGAAATAAAAGGGGAGAATTAGAAAGACATGTACGAAGAAGAGATAGGACGTAAACCATATCGCCAACATACAAACCGGAGCTTTATCGACCAGCGACCACGCTTCTTTGCCTGGCTAGCCAGCCCTTCTGAGCATCGGCTAGGGATCCATTCCGGTACCGGGCCAGGCCGATATTGTTGTTTTGTAATCGGTTCTGGAGTTCGTACCAGGAGGAGCTCATCAAAGTCAGCTCCCGCGCTTGAGCATCGATTATCTTCTGGAGTTCGAGCTGTTTGGAGGATTTGAATATTAGTGACTTGATGTAGTCAGTCAGTCTCAAGTGACAACTTACCTCGCGCTCTTTGCTAATTCCATCATCCGTATCCTCTTCGAGTTGCTTTATCCGCTCTTGGAGGAACTTGATGTGTTCGTTCTGTTGGTGAATATACTGCAAGATGATTCGTGTTAGTCTTTTGTAGACCGTAGAATGCGAACGGGATAGGATGTAACAATGGGTCAAGGTGGCAGCTGGGCCTCAACGCCTGAACCTTCTGGCGATTAATCGACCCAGTCGCGATAGACCGGGTGCCTTCGCAGCTAATATCTGGGTCGAATCGCCAAATGGCCGATCTGCAAGAAGATCGAGACGTTTCCTGTCGCCACTGAGGCTACCAAGACGAATAGGCCTTGCCTGGCTCGGAATAACACAAGTTGAGAGTCGATAGGGTTTCTTATAACTGACCTCTGCGCGCTTCGCCAGCCTTTCCAGATTCTTCTCAATCTGTGCGGCGACCTGTCTAATGAGCTCTACAGCCGACTTCTGAGCAGCTTCCTGATCATCGCCATTTTCCTGTGCAGTGAGTTCGGCCAGCAGCTTCTTCATTTCCTCTGCGGCTTCGTGATCTTCCGCACGGAACTCGGCTTGCTTCTTCTCGAGCAAGTTTCGCAGATCGTCACGTTCGGCACATGTGACTTGGACTAAAGCCTGGGTTGAATCAAGCTCGGCCTGCAGATTGTACAGTCTGCGCATAGCATCATCTTCTCCTTCGCGAGCCTTGGTCAAATCTGCTGCGCTGCTCGCTTTGATCTCAGCGATGAGATCCAAGTTCTCTTTATTGGACAATTCGACTGTATTCATGTGAGCACATTTCATAAGCAAGGTTTTCGCCAAACAGTAGCTACTCACTTTCTGCCAGCGCATCGTTCAGCGATCTCTTGGATACGTCGAGAGCTTCTTGGGCTTCGGCCAATCTCTTGAGGGCAGAGGTATACTGGTCGTACAACTTCCAATAATCATCACTGGTGCACCATTAGCGTTTATACTAGCTACGCTGCTTCTAGTAGGAAGTACCTCTGCGAAGAGTTTGCGCGAGCTTGTTGCAGTGTTTCATTGAAAGCCTCGGAAAAGTCCAATCCCACCTGTGGTACATTGTTAGCGGCCTGAGATAAGGTGATAGTAGTCGTAATACGTAAACATACTGATGGCCCTTTGAGGGATTCCACTTCCTTTTTCAGCTCTTCATTCTCAGATTTCCTGTAGCGAGTTAGCCTAGATCTCCGTTGCTGCAGCACAAGGTCTCCTAACAGCTGTGATTCCTTCACACCGATCGCCTCAAAGTCTTTCTGTAGAGTTCCCTCGAGCTTGGGAGTCTCGGTACCCGGCGTCAGGGATGGGCTTCCAGGAGAACCTTCCAATTCACGGATTCGCTCACGGAGCTCACTTATCAAAGCATCATCACGTTCGCGCTGCTCATCGGCGTTACTAAGACGCTCTGTGAGGGCATGATTGTTAAATTCGAGTTGCTTCTTCAGGTTCTGGATTTCACTGCACTCCTGCTCAATGCGAGGCAAAACTCTGCGGTATTCTTCCAGCTCCACCTCACGCTCGGAGTTCCATTTCTGCTGCGAATCCGCCTCCTTGAGCTGTTGCTGGAAGTCTTTAATCTGGTTCTTGAGTGACTGGTTCTCTTTCTCGAAGTCCTGGCTAGCCTGCAGCTTCTGGCGGTACTTTTCGGCTGCGTTCGCCTTGCGAGCAAGTTGATCTCGCTCAGTCTTCAGCTCGTCATAGTCATCCTGGAGCTTCTGGAATCGTTGGTTCTTGACGCGTAATGACTCCACCGTCATGCGTAGACTGTCGATCTCATCCTGCGCTGTAGCCAGCCTTGCTTCCTGGGTTGCGATGATGTCTTCCTGTTGACGGGATTTGGACTCAAGAGCCTTTGCACTGAGTCCAAGATCACCCTTCCCAGACCTCAAGTTGACTAGTCGATCCTCGGTCGATGCAAGCCGGCTTTGTAAGGTGTCATTGTTCTCCTGGAGGCGCGCCAGGCGATCGTGCATGTCATCGATCTGCTTCTGCATGTCCTTCTTCTCACGCGCCATCCGGTTATTCTCCGCCAACACCTTTCCTACCCGCTCTTCAAACTGCAGCTCGGGGTCGACGGGCAGATCCCGCTCCTCCTTGACATCGTCCTCACCATCAATAGCCTCATGCTGACCATTCTGAGCTTCCTCGAAGATGTTTTTCAGGGTTTCTTGCGTCGGGGTACTTAGGCTCTGAAGGGTTTCGACGTAGGTCTGCGCGTTGGGAGAGCGGATGGCGGCGATCAGAAGGAGCTTCAGGAGTTTGTTGGCCTCCTTGACGGAGTTCTTCTCGGCGACCAATTCGAGGTTGGGGTTGGGGTCGAGACCTGTGGGCATGCCATCGGGCTGTTGGCGGATGTAGTTGACGAGCAACTTGTGGATATGTTTCAGGTTCTGCCATTTGGATAGCCAGTGGTCGGACGGGGCGCGCTGGGGGATCTCATCGAGGAAATACTGCGGATCGATATCCTGCAGGATTTCCCAGATGATGGTGCCATCCGACAACTCCTCGGTCGTCCGGATAGTCTTGCCCAAGGCGAAACTGTTAACCCATTCCAGCAGGGCCTGGGTGACGGTATGCTCCGCAGCCATGGTCGGCGATGTTGGCTGCAATCGGGGGCAATCAACTGGGCGGGGAACACGGCGGTTGTTGCAAATTCCAGTAACGGCTGGGTGGAATTGCCGGCAATTGTATTCGGGTCGGGGCCAGGAGGGGCTAATTGCGACCCCTCAGCACGGTTAAATTTGAACCTGGACGGTGGAGGATGAGGACTGTGCCTCGATGAGATCCTTTTTTGAGCGCCTCCGGGGCGTTGGAGGCGGGATCCACGCTACGCGCATCGACGAGCTATAAATACCGAAGTCCCGCTTGGGAAGGGAAACATTCAGGATCACCCACGGCGTTGCTTCCTATTTTCTACTTCCACCATATGAAACAACACCCACCAAAGATCAAAGTGGTTCATAAAATTTAAAATTGTGACGAATTATCCAAGTCAGTTATTCATGTCATGGTGATTTTGTTGTTTGTTGAGTTATGGGAAACAGTCGCCGGCTTTAGAAGTCCATAACATGGTTCATTCAGGCGACGAGACACATACTCCCTTTCTCAAAACAGAGAAAGACAATGATACATAGAAATCCTGAATTACAATCTAGGCTAGTTTTCCCCCATCTATTCATCCATTATCGAGCATCAACGGTCAAGCCCCGAAACCAGCGGGAGAACCATCCATCATTCAGTACCAATATGGAATGGAGAAAAGGGAGCTTCTTCTCTCGGAATATCCAATATCCCATTACTGGATAGTGACAGTGATGTCTTTCTCAATAGTTGGATTGTATGCTGCGAATTCAGTCGACAGCTGTTGAACCGAATCGTCCTTGGTGTCGGCTGCGAAGCCCCTGTGTGTATGTATGTCAGACCAAGCACTCCGGAACTTTCAGGAGAGAATTACTTGAGCAAAGCTGTAGAAAGCGACATGTTAGCACTGCCACTACCCAAAACGCAAGGATGACTAGGGAACTAGGAACGCTGCATGATGCTTACTGTAATTATGGGTGATCTTGCCACCCTACCAGAAACGACCAGTCAGTAAAATAGAGATGTGCCAACGCTGTCAAAGCACCCGGTCACATACAGCGTCCTTAACTGATTGCTTTGCCTGATCAACCACCGAGTCAGGGGTACCTGAAGGGAACGTGACCAGAATCGATTCGGCCAGGGCCAAGGGAAGCAACCCCAAGACGGTAGCAGTAGCAGACAACTTCATGGTGAAGAATTCGACACTGGGCTCGACGCGTAGAAAGCAACCTTTCCTAAAAACCAATAGTAATACCAATATCCAGATTCAAGTTTCAATGGTTGTGATATAGAGATGGAGGTGATGAAGATGGGGTTGTACCTAGTAGTATCTTGGGGGAAGTAAGGTGTGACTGCGTCATACTATCCACTCACGGCGATTCACGAGAGCGCTGGAATGCATTGCCCGATTGGGGTTAGTCGGTAACGGATAAGGACCAAGTCTCAACCTAGTGTGCTGACTCAGCCAGTCACGCCGCGGCGCTGACGCTTTCTATTCTTCGGACCTCGTGAGCGCAACTTCCGCAATTCTGCCTGCCTCTCCTGCTCCCTGTTCGCCTCCCTTTCCCTCGCTTCATCCCGGCCGACTCTGGGTTGCTTTGCTATTTCCTGGTCATTCTGTTCGAGCTTCCATCTTCCAATTTAGCCGGTTTTCATTCTACCTTGGTCCCCTTTGCACGTCCGATTTTCCCCCCAAGGTGTGTAACAGCTGGGGGTATTTCCCGACTTCACTCCAAGACCTTTCTTTCCCCCTCTCCATCTTTCATCAACCCCCCTTCGTCCCGGTTTGGTTCCTCTACTGGTTATTGTTTACTGGAAGGGTCAATCAGTACGGGTGATTGTATGAGGTAGATTGATTAACACTGGGTTGACGGAGTGTTGTAGCGCGGGTTCTTTGTTGACTTTCGGGTTCTGGTGGAGGATTTGCGCTTGCGGCCTCCTGTTGTTGTCTCAAGTCTGACCAAGATAGCTAGCAAGCATTCTACAAGTTCCGACAGCTCTTTCCATCTCTTGCACTCTCAGGAGACACCTTTATTTGGAGAGAAACAAAGGAAGCGGAAATAGGAAATTTTATATACGGTGGTAAAAGGGACAAACCCAGTGGGAAAAAAGAGGAGCAAAAGAAGAGAGAAACAAAGCAATAAGAAGGACAAGTTCCTAACAAAAAAGGGGGGAAATAAGAAGAAGAAGAAAGCCAGAGAAAAAAAAGCAAGAAAAAAAAAGTTTACAAAGTCTAGAGGACAAGGAAAGGAACTGAAAAAGACAAGAGAAAAGACCAAATAATTAAATAAAGAGGAGGAATCAGAGGAAAGGACAAACAAAAGGAACATAAATATTCTTTCGAGTGTTACGCCCTTCTTTAGCACTCGTCCATTGTTCATTTCTTTCTTCTTTGTCAATACCCTTTTCTTATCCTCGCTTTCCCCCTGTTCCCCCTTCATCATCCTTATCAGCCTTTGTATCTGCCCACCATGTCATCCGGGTTGGCCTCCGACGAAGTTGCCGAGGATTACAAGAATTCCTTGGAAGATCTAACCAACAATGACAGGTTTCAGATCAGCAATCTGACTGTCATAGCCAAAGAAAACACTGAACATGCGATGGCCATCTCCCGCGTGTTGGAGAACCACATTCGAACAGTAGGTGACACGCTCTCAGAATACCACCGGTTGGGCCTCGTCGGACCTGACGAGACGCACAACCCGTCTGTAGTCTCTCTTTGGGATGAAACGAGTTCTAATCTGCTCTGTAGACTCCGCCGGCTCAGAAGTTGCCCGCCTTGTATGTAGTCGATTCGATTGTCAAGAACGTAGGCACGCCCTACACTCTGTTCCTGGGTCGCAATCTGTATCAGACCTTTATGAACGCCTACACACTGGTCGATTCGCAGACGCGCAAGAAGTTGGATGAGATGCTCAAGACCTGGAAGGAGCCGGTTCCGGGTTCCCTCGACACCAGGCCCGTTTTTCCTCCAGAAATTACTCGCAGTATCGAGAGTGCTCTGATCAAAGCAAGGACTGCAGCGCTTCAGCAGCAGCAGGCCCGAACCCAACAAGACATCCTCGCTCGCGGTCGAGTTGGCACTCCTCCAGCTTGGAACAGCACTCCTACACCACCGCAAGGCATGGGCCGCCATCCACCTGCGGCAAACCAGGCTTTACCCATGCATTACCAGCGCAATGGCTCTGGTCACGGATATCCACCATCGGTAAGTATCATCTTACATTCCAGAGCCATACTATGGCGGAAGGTCTTATATAAATAGCAGGGTGAATCGTACTCTTCGCGGGGAACACCAACTCCCCAAGCCCAGCCACGCTCAACAGAGGTTGATCTCGCGGTTCTCAACCGAGATATCGAGGCTCTTATTGCCACCGCCAGGAACGATTTTGCAAACAATCCACTGGACCCTTCGATACAGCAACGACTGAAGGCTCTTCTAGATCTTCAGGGTATCTTGCAACGGCAAGAACTTACCCAGGAACAATTGAAGCTCGTCCGCGACCAGGTTTCAGCTCTCGCTCCGAAGCCTGCAATGCCGGCTCCTCAGGCTATGGCTCCAAGTGTCCCAGCCGTTTCAACGCCCCCCATGGCTACTCCTCCAGCCCAAACACTTTCGCAACCTTTACAACAGCTTCTCAATCCTGGCACGCTTGCCGGGCTCCTCAAAGCTACTGCTACACGTCAGCAGCCGACTCCGCCACCTCAAATTCACAACATCCTACCGCAGATGCCCACTAATACCACCGCGCCGCAGCCTTCCGTCAGCGCCGCACCGGAAAATCCTCTCATTGCAGCCCTAAGAGCACAGGGCTTACTGCCACCGGCCTCGGCACCTCCAGCCCCTTTCACTGCTGCTCCGCCGCCAAATGTCACGCCTGCTTTTCCATTAATTGTACCTGGTCAGGTGCGAGTCACGCCTCCAGTCGCAACACCGCAGACACAGCAAGGTACATCTAATGCGCAGATCAACGTTCAAATGAGCACAGCGTCCATCAAAATGTGAGTGTCTTATGTTAAGGCTACATTGGTTTTCATATCTCTAACTCAATGAACCCTCAGCCCTCGGCAAATGCTGATCTCCAGCCTCTACGAGACGCGGTCAAACCGGTGTGGAACATGCGGTCAACGTTTCTTTGCAACAGAGGAAGGGAAGGAGAAGAAGGCTCGCCATTTGGATTGGCACTTCCGCACCAACCAGCGCATGTCTGAGGCAGCTAGGCGGGCCCAGAACCGCAGCTGGTACGTTGATGAACGGGTAAGTCACGAACCATTCTCGAACCATTTATTCTGCAGGACTAAGTATCTCCAGGATTGGATTAAATCTCGTGAGGCGGGTGACGAACAAGATCTTGCGGAGACGGAGGCCTCCGCTGAGGATGTTGCTGGTGCTGACGGCGCTGCAACTAAGAAGGGGCCTCCCAAGCAGTGGATCCACGCCCCGAATGATGCAACATTGCGAAACACCCCTTGCCCTATCTGCCAGGAGAAGTTTGAGTCGACATGGTCGGAGGATGTGCAGGACTGGATCTGGCAGGATGCGGTCAAGGTGGGAAGTCGCGTGTACCATGCTAGTTGCTACGCCGAAGTTACCAATAACGGACCTACGCCAGCCAGCCGGGGGACGCCATCAGGACGAACTGGGACTCCCGAGTCTGTTTTGGGCAAACGCAAGGCCGAGGTGAGTGATGAAATAATGAGAGATATTCAGCAATCCCAGTGACTAACACGTACTATAGGGGACCGACTCTCCTGGGTCCAATGTGCGGATTAAAACAGAGCCCGTGTGATTGGGGTGTACACTCCCTTCTCCTCCTTTCCTTCTTCTTCTACTCTTTGTTGATGATTCTCTGCTTTTGAGCGAAGATGCATCATTCATTCAGCTTGACGGCTGTTTTTATTGCATGGGAAGGTGAATGAAATCCCTTCCTCTGGGCGTTCCGGGGCAAGTGATGATGGTGATGGATCACAGGACACATACAGCACTCCCGGGCTCGCTGCCTTGTATATAGTATCCCATTGTAGAACCAGATGAACCAAATATCAGGTCATTATATACATCCTGGATGTGTTTTACTACGTAGAACCACTATATACAGATAAACCCCAATCTTCATAGTTTCGGCGAATGACGTCGGCAAATGAAGCTGCCCCGCTCGGCGCAACTCCGCTCAACGTAACAAGAATTACTTCTTTAATTCTCACTCCCCCTCAACATCTGTCCAGCGTTCTTCAGAACCCAGATATCCGTTCGACTGCGCAGTACTTCTTAGCTTTATTCATCCTCGCTCAGCATCCCAGAATCTCCAGTCTTCATCTTCACAATGGCTCCCCACAACATCCGGTGGGGTATCATGGGTAGGGATCAATTTCCCCGCATCCAAACAAACAAAAAGATCCCCGGGCTAACGAACGCGGATGGCATTGCACATATACAGCTACGGGGTGGATCGCTGATGGTAAGCCTCTCACCCCAGCTCACAACCACCAGTTTCTCTAACAAAGTAAATGCAGTCTTCACCCGTGACCTCCTTAGAGACCCCAACGTCCGCAACGTCACCGACGTCTCTCACACCGTCGTGGCCGTAGCATCCTCCTCCAACGCCGCACGAGCAGAGAAATTCATCTCAGACACCGGTATCCCATCCCCCTGTGCCGCCTATGGCTCCTATGAAGATCTTGTAGCCGACGCCAACGTCGATGTCGTTTACGTCGCAACTCCGCACTCCCACCACTTCCAGAATGTCATGCTGGCTCTTAACGCCGGAAAACATGTCCTCTGTGAGAAGGCCTTCACCGTCAATGCTGCTCAGGCCAAGATCCTATGCGAGACCGCTCAGAAGAAGAATCTCTTCCTCATGGAAGCTGTCTGGACTCGCTACTTCCCTCTCAGTATCCAGATCAGAGATTTGATCAAGCAGGGCGCTATCGGCGAGGTTTTGCGGGTCATCTCTGATAACAGTTTCGGAGACCCGGTTGAGGAGAGATGGGGCACGGAGCATCGTATGGTTAATAAGGATTTGGCGGGTGGTTGTCTGTTGGATTGTAAGCCGCACCCATTCACGAACCCTCCCTTCTCATTTCTCTTATTTCAGTTCATCTCTCCTCCCCTGCGTAGGGCAGATGACTAACTATATCGAACGTGCAGTGGGAATCTACTCCCTAACCTGGGTCTTCCAGACCCTTTATCACACCCTCCCCCGGGACCAACGTAAACCTCCCTCTGCCATCTCCGCCCATATGACACTTTACCATCTAACGGGCGCCGACGAGGCCACTACCATCCTCTTGAGCTTCCCGACCAGCACTCCCTCCAACCTACCTCATCCGGGCCAGTCGCAGGCCGTGGCCATGACGCATCTCCGCGTCTCTACTGACCCCGATGAGGCAAACACCGCCCGTCCGGCCATCCGGATCCAGGGTACGAAGGGTGAGATCCAGGTGGATGGGCCGGCGTTCCGGCCTGAGCGATACCGTATTATCCCCGCCAAGGGAGAGGGTGAGGTTAAGGAGGTTGAGTGTCCGTTCCCTGGCGGTGGGAAGGGTATGTTCTGGGAGGCGGATGAGGTGGCGCGGTGCCTGAGGGATGGAAAGCTGGAGAGCGAGACTCTGCCGTGGGAGGAGAGTATCGTGATTATGGAGGTGATGGATGAGGTTAGACGGCAGGGAGGGTTGACTTATCCGGAGAAGATCGAGTCGACTGTGTATCCTACGCAGCTGTAGATCCATTATAGTCCTGTAAATCGAATGATGTGATTTGGTGTTTCATGTTTTGTTGATATGAGGTTTGTTGAGGGTAAATATCGTTGGCTTGTATACTCCAAATCAAAGGGTCAACGACTACATTATCATTGCGGTTTACTTGTCGGAGGTTATTCGCATTCCGAAATTACTACTATACAAAAACAGAGATATCCGGCCGGAAGGCATGAGTCTATATAAGGACATGAGAAAGACAATTTCCATTCCCGGACAACGCAGGTCTTTTTTTCTGCCTTTCTTCACCGGCCCATGAGGGCAACCAGAAAGCCTCTACCTCCGGGCAAAGACATAAGCACCGGAACGATGGGTATCACTAAGGTACATCACTCCGGCCTCAAAGGTGGACGTCCTCTGCCATTAAAGGCATCTAGTTCTGGCGGAAAACGCCGAGCAAGCTCTTCCAGACCTGGCCAGGCTCCTGGCTGGCGTCAATGCCGCGCCAGATACCGGTCTTCTTGTAGTACTCGACAACGGGGGCGGTCTGGGCGTGGTAGGTGCCGAGGCGCTTCTTGAGGGTATCGGCGTTATCGTCGGAGCGCTGGATCAGGGGCTCGCCAGTAACGTCGTCCTTCATCTCCTCCTTGGGGGGGTTGAAGATCTTGTGGTAGGAGCGGCCGGAAGCCGGGTGGACGAGACGTCCGGTGATACGGGCCACCAGAAGGGCATCGTCAATCTGAAGCTCAACGGCGTGCTGGAGCTTCTGCTGGCGAGCGTTAAGCATGTCGTCCAGACGCTCAGCCTGGGCAACGGTACGGGGGAAACCATCCAGGATGAATCTAGAAAGAGGCGCGCGCCGTCAGCCAACTAAGCAGTATCGCATGAAGATCAGATTACCAACCCGTTCTTGCACTCGGCGTTGTTGTCAAGCTCGCTCTGGATCATGTTGACCATGATCTCATCGCTGACCAGACCACCCTGGTCCATGATCTTCTTAGCCTCCTTACCCAACGCGGTCTTCTTGGCGACCTGGGAGCGCAGCATGTCACCGGTGGCCTGCATGAATGGAAATAGACATTAGTATTGGGCTCAAGACCATACAATGACAGCCCGATGGATGGCTTACCAAGTGGCAGACACAGTACTTCTCCTTCAGCCGGGGAGCCTGGGTACCCTTGCCTAGTTTGGAGAATCGGTCAGAATTCCGCAGCACGGAAAAGCAGGGAACGAGGATAGGATGTAGAAAGGATCCAAGGATTGTCAATGGAAAACATACCGGCACCAGGAGGTCCCATCAGGATGATGCGCATCTGCTCAGCAACCGACTTAGGCTTGACCTGGTTGCTGAGGCGGCCTTCCAACTCCTCAACACGAGCCTCCAGCTTTCCGATAGTGTCCTTCAGGCCGTTGACGACCTCGTCCGTAATGGGAGCCATTGTGATGTGAGAAGAGGAGAGGAAAAGGAGAACGCTTCAAGAAAGTGTCCGGAAAGGGAACAGGAGGGGGAGGAAGAGGGAAGAGAGGAGAGAAGTGGCAGGAATGAGGAAGAGATATCAACCAGACCGGGGAAAGGGAAGGGAACGGAGAAAGTGCATGTTGGGGGAGAAAAGAGGCCGACCGGAGGGAGTGGAGTCTCCCACCCGAGGTTCCTGCGCCCTGGGAAATTCGCCTCGACCGGCACCCTAGCCTTCGGGGTTCTGATCGGAGGTGTTTGGTAGATCCTCAGTGGTCTCCAGAGGCGTCCATCGACCCGGAAGCAATCTCTCATCGCCAACATGACGTCCTTTCATTGAGCCAATCTCCACTGGTTTGAGCCTTGAAGAGTCCGACTCGGGACTAGTCCCGGAACACGTGTCCCGTATTGTGTGCCTGAGGCATAAAGGCACCGGAATGTATGTGTGTGGCTGATGTTCAGGTGTCGAGGTGTCGAGGTGTCAATTCCCACCATCAGCCACTCGAGTGTGGCTCAAGCACGGAGCTCCAATGAATCCAGAGAGGCTCTCCGTTGATCCAACCAACAACAGCTTCCCTCTTCATCGTCATCGCTCCTCCTCCTCCTCCTTCATCTCCCATCTTCATCCCCTTGCTTATCCCGCAACAATCCCTCCCACACACTTCTGACAGACCCTTCATCCTCCCCTCCCAGTCCTATCTCCACCGCTGACAGCTCGTCTCGCGTTCCTTCTGTCTCCGCCATGCCTGCCACCACGGCGGACGCCCTTTCCCTCGTTCAGCGCACCGTCACGGTCGCTCCGCTAGTTCTTCTCTCCGTCGCAGATCACTACGGCCGCTCGGCCAAGGGTACCCGGAAACGTGTGGTTGGTGTGCTGCTGGGTGAGAACTCGGGCCAGAATGTCCGGGTATCGAACAGCTTTGCGGGTGCGTCATTGACCTTCTATTTACCTTCGGTATCTCTTTCAGTGTCCACGTGCTGACAGTTCCTTCTCCCAGTACCCTTCGAGGAAGATGAGAAGGACCCCTCCGTTTGGTTCCTAGATCACAACTTTGTCGAGTCGATGAGGGACATGTTCAAGAAGATCAATGCTCGTGAGAAGCTGGTTGGATGGTATCACTCGGGCCCGAAGCTGCGGGCCTCGGATTTGGAAATCAACGAACTCTTCAAGCGCTACACACCGAACCCTCTGCTGGTGATTGTGGATGTCCAACCGAAGGAAGTCGGCGTTCCTACGGATGCTTACTTTGCTGTGGATGAGATCAAGGATGTGAGTAACTATGCGCGCCGTCGTACCGGACCTCGTTAAAGGACATATGGACTAATCATCACAATGCTGTAACAGGATGGCACCACAACATCAAAGACCTTCGTCCACACCCCGTCTATAATCGAAGCTGAGGAAGCTGAGGAAATTGGAGTGGAGCACCTTCTCCGGGATATCAGGGATGTCGCTGTCGGAACCCTCTCCACCCGCATAACGTCGCAGCTTCAGTCGCTGCAGGGTCTGCACCTGCGTTTGCGCGACATCGGCCAATACCTGCAGAAGGTTCTTGACCACGAACTCCCCGTCAACCACGCCATTTTGGGCAACCTCCAGGACGTCTTCAACCTCCTCCCCAACCTTTCCACACCAGCCGCCACGCCGCGCATCAGCGGCGCGCCCGAACAGCCGACGGAGAACAGCGAGCTCGCACGGGCCATGAGCATCAAGACCAACGATCAATTAATGGCGATCTACTTGAGCAGCTTGATCCGCGCCATCACCGCATTCCACGACTTGATTGAGAACAAGATCCAGAACCGGCAGCAACAAGAAGAGAACGAGCTGAAGAGGGAACAGGAGGCCAACGCGGCCAAGACCGAGAAGGAGGCCGCGAAGAAGGCCAACAGTGCCGCCAATGGAGAGCAGAAGGAGGGTCAAGACAAGGAGAAGGCCAAGAAGAGCCAGAAGGAGTAGACGGGTCAGGGACTCTATGCGATACGATCATCTAGAACAATGCAGTCCATCGAATGTATATTACGGTAATCTCTACGCGGCTGATTGCGACCACGGGGCATCTGCTTGTTGTAGGCCAGCAACGGTGCTGCTGTATGTGTGTATTGGTAGGATCTACCCTCAAGAGCAGCACTTGCGTGAGGTATTGTCGAGGATGAACTTATGGAATTGCAAGCTCCCAGAGCTTCCATAATGGACTCCACAATTCGGAGCCGCTCTCAGACGGCACAATAGTAGTAGTCTCTGTAGACCGGCACGTATCCAACAGACGATCATCCCACTGGCCTGCACACGTCATGCCATAGTGTTACTGGGTCATCTTCCACGTAATGGCTCCCAGCCATCATGACTCAGGTCTCCATAACATCGAGACCCTCCACTATGACCCCCGAGACGGAACCTTCTTCGGTATCAATGTTTCTAGACAATGAGAAGTTGTTCCACTCCTCAGTAAACAAAGACAAAACCATGCCATGTGCTTCACCCAGAACAAGGGCAAACAACAAACACCCAAGAATAGTCTAGATCCCTCACCGACTCGAAACATACAATGAACAAAGAAGTTTTAGAGCTTCCATCATCCACCCCACCCAGCACACCAACCCGCCAATTCCTCCACACTGACAACAGAAACAGACCCCTCTTCTCCGCTCCCAAAGAGACCCGGACACCGCACGGCCAGGCAACAGGCCAGAAGATGCTTGCACACGGGAGGAGAGGAGCGAGTTGAGTTCCGGGTTAATGAGCCCCCGAATGGATAGTAGTTGTCCTTTGTTAAGGAAGGGTCATCCTGACCAGTGGTGGAGGATGAGTCCGCCTCTTCGTCGTCATCTAGTCCCGGGTCTCGGAATGCATTCAGGGTAAAAGTAGGACAAGTGCAGTTCCAGGCCTTTAGCCGGACTTCGTAGCCTTTTGGGTCTGGTTCTTTGGTGTAATATGATGTGGTTGAGAATGGGTCCTGTTGATCGGGAGAGATGGTAGATGCTGAGCGGACATAGAAGACGTCAGGTATATCTTTGGTAGTAGCATTTGTTGTCAAGGGACGATGTTGAGCAGCGGTTGTAGGATGTGTTGATTGGCTGCTGCTGGTGTTGGTGTCGTTGCATATGAATCGTTGCACTAGACCTCTGTCTAGTATGTCCAGAGCGAGGAGGAGCTCATTCGGAAATATACAGTGGAGTGTTAGCATTGCTGCCTTCACTTCTGATATTTGGGATGGAGGCAGAGTAGAGAAGGGTGTGCGGTGGTGTCTGACTGGGGGTTGATGCCGGTGGTCATGGTTACTGTCTACGGGCGGGACGGTGAAGGTTGAGAGGTGGGAGATCAATTGATCGATGAATTGGGCAGATGAAGGATTTTGCTGGGAGGGGAGTTGGTAGTCTGACTGGGTTTGAGACGCCATTGGGAGGTGTAGCTAGGGATGAAAAGTGCCAAATGTAGTAGAAGAGGGCGCGGGAAGACCGCAACCCAACTTAATGACTGGGACTTCAACTGTCCTCGATAAAAGGTCGCATGTTACTGCCGGGTATTTTACAAGCATTCGATACCCATATGATCTTATAGTCTAATGATGATAACTTATATAAAGATAATCCAGCATAAGCAGCGTTTATTTTATCAAAAACCGAATTGATCCGAGCCCACTAGGACGCCCAAGCGAAAGTACCATGGAAGCATTACATCGAGGTATCCGCAATAGAAAAAAATATATAATCGCAACAGCACTACTATCATCTTAAGCCACACATGACTTCCAACCATTTCAAGTTCAACCCAAGCGCCCATTTCAGATAGAGGCTCTCGTAGCTAATTGAGACCGCTTCGGGCTACTGGCTTTGATGATCTTCCCAGAGATAACCCTATCTTGCGCACTTCCCGAAGGTCTTACTTGCCTGTTGTCTTCCCCGCGGAAACTGAGTCGTGTCTGTGTTCCGACGTCTCGTACAAATGTGTCCGGTCGTGGTCCAGCATCATATGGTTCGAGTAGAATCTCTGGCTTAAGGGGAATGATGCCTCGCCCTGTGAGGACCTCTCGCGTCTTTTGGCAGACAAGTCTAAGCCTGACCTCGGCATGTTGAACCTTTTTCCCTGGTTTCAGCCAGATAAGGGGCCCGTCTCCTTCAGATATGACCAGCTGATCGTTGACTTTCCAATTTAACCTTCGTCCCTTTAAGTGAATGGTCTGTTCCAGGCATACAGCATTATGAGGCGCGATGCTCATCGAACCTAGACCAGGTTCTGGGGAAGAGCCCCTTGGAGAGCCTGCATTGGGGCTGCCATGGGATTTAGCAATGGTGGGCGGTTCATCATCGTCGGTTGGTTGCATGACCCAAGCCTGATCTTCTCCCCAGACCCCGGACCCCAGATCTAATGGCCTCTCGAGGGGCACACGATGGTATACTGCCCAATAGACGCGATCATTGTGGCCAGGCTTCATTCCCCCCTGATTATCTATGAAACCCTCAAGAATATCATCCAGTGATTCATAGGTGTCAGTTCTCATGTCGTCTTGATGTGCCCACTTATTATCTGGCCCCATGACAGCACATGTGTAATGACCCAACTGGATGTCCGTCTCATCTGGCGTGTGGAAGACTATCCCGAAAAGCTCATACCGAGCGCAGCCTTCGATTTTCACCGTATCACTCAATAAGCCAGGTGGGAGTTCTATCTCGCTTTGAAGAAAGACAGGAGCCCTAATTCTTCTGGGCTCATTCGTCCTTTTGTCATATTTCATTCTGGGGAATTGGACAAGAAGAACTTCAGGAAGGTATAAAGCCTTCTCGGAAGTAAGATGGCCTGTCTCTTGTCCGCACTTGCCACACTTTTCAATCGAATGCTCTGATTTGTCTAGTAGTCTTTCCTCGATATTTGCGAACCCAGGCGTATTTTCATCCTCAGGAGCATACACCATAAAGAATTTTTCATCTGGCCAATTTCTCAACCTCTCACATTTGCAGCACTTTTTATTCCTGCTCACTCGAATCTTGAATATATCATTCAACTCGCGGCGGCTAATTCAAGTTAGCATCGGGCGTGCAGCGTACGTATGAAGAAAGAACCTTACCCCTGTTCATCTACCTCCACAAGTAGCTGCTGGAATATGCATTCCAAGAATGCACGCGCATCCTGCTGCCCTTGGGTATAACCGTTCCAGGAGGTCTTTGCAAGTCTTCCCCACAACGGTTTCAGGCATCTCTGCAATCTATCCTTTCCATCATCTTCTTTGACCCAATAGAGATGATAAAGACGATAGAAACAACAGGTTAGGCACTTTTGTTGTTCTGAAGCACACGTTTCGTGGCTCTTGTGATATCTGATAAGCCATTTCAAAAAAACAGGCGTATTCATAAGCACTACAAGCACCGCGTTCCGGTAGCACAAGGTACCCCGATTCCTGAATCCCCCAACCCTCTTTCGACAAAATCCCAGAGGGGCCCAGCCAGAGGTGATAGGGTCATCCTGCCAGTCAATTAGTCAAGTACTTCTTGGCTAGCTCGAACAACGCATGGGTATATACCAGTTCTGGTGGCTGTGACAGCCGTCGATGTGGTAGTTCCGGTTCTGGTTTTGGTTCACTCATATCTCCGACAATCAATATCTATCGTTCCTTGTCTTGCGTGCAGTAAAGATACAGGCGGCTGTATGAGTGTATAGCTCGAAAATTGGCAGACTTAGCAGGCCGGAGCGACGTTCTGAATGATGATTAAGGGATATGCCCGTGAAGGAGATCGTTGCTGGCTTTATGTCTGAAAAACCACATAGCGACATGGTTGGAATGGGAGAGAATGCATTATCTCGTTTGCCCTTGGCGCAGGGGTCTTTTCCCCCTCCTGATCTCTTTGAACTGCTAGAATCGAGACAACCTGGTTCATTATTTGTTTGAAAGATGCTGTATGATCCATTGGCTTCCGACGACGGCATTTATGCTGACTCTAAAATAAACGTAGAGATTCAAAAGTATGATCTTATATATAGGCTTTGTTTGATAATGCTATCCGTATACTGTAGCCGTTATGAAGACGGAGGAACAAAGGATCACACAGCCTTGCCTGTTATGGCAGTTCTTCTGGGCTCTTTTAGCATCCCTCATTCAGTTTGTCCGAAGTAGATAGTGGATTGTATAGTCCAAGGCGATGGAGGCCCGAGGACTCCGAGGAACGTTGGAATTTTACATGAGGTTCTGAGTAAAAAGAAACCTCGATATATTATTTATCAAGAGCTCAATTGAAGCCCCGTAGCCCATGAATTTCTATTCAGTACTGTGTAGTAGACCAGATAGTCACATGATCGAAACTGGTGTCACATGTCAATATCACTCTGAGACTTCTACTTCGTTCATTTACCACACATCCAATGCCCATGTGACGTGTTCAGCCATTATAGGGCATCCCCAGTCTTTCAAATTGATTGTTCCGATGTAACTTCTCCTTATTCTCCCAGTTGCTGCTCGTCCAAGAGTTGTACGGAGCGGTGCACTGCAGGGACTGGACCCGATTACGGAGTACTTGCATCCTAGTATCCTGTATGGCCTTATGCGATGACGTTCTGAGAGACCTCCCGACGGCCGAGATCGAGTGGGGTTCAACCCAAGTTCTGGCCGTCTGCCAGACAACCCGCGCGGAAATGAGAGTTCCAGACTTGACCAGTCAGGTACACCCTGGCCCGGTCCGGCATATCCAGAGTACCCAGCCCTGGTACTTGCGACAAGGACTACAGGTTTCCGGCCAGTCCAGCCTGGGCAGATTACCCTAGTGATTCTACGGAGGTAGCGAACGATGACGGGGCTGGCGTCCTCGACAACGAATGAGATGGACGTAGGCTCAAGAGTCGTCTCGAACACGGGAAGTTTCGAACAGGATTACTGCAGCGGGATACGGCACCTGGCTGTCCAACGGTTGTGTCAAGTGTCAATTGTGTACTTAGGAGTTAGATAAGTAAGTAGTAAGGGAAGGTCCATGATGACGGGTATCCGTTGGAATCAGTTCACCACTGGTTGTTAGGAGAGACGCCGAGCTATGATGGTCAAACCGTCCATGTCACACGAGCCCGTTGTCAGTGTGCTTCTGCTATGTCCGTTTGGTCCTTCATGTGTGTTTGGAAGGATCCGATTCGATCCGCTTTCCTGCTCATGTATGTCAATAATCAGGCAGGGATGGGGATGAAGGGTTATCTGAAACACTTAGCATGACCATTGTATAGTACAAGTTAAGTTACGATTCGCTCCCTCATCAGCCGCTTTCCCTCCATCATCCTCGTCCCCTCCAGTCCAAGTGATACGTTCAATCTACCAACCCATCCCATAGCCGAAGTGAACCACGATGGAGAAAAGAACCTGACACGAAACCAGAAAACAAATCTCCTTCGAGTCTAGACCACCCGTCCCTCACCGATGAACTGGTTCTTGCTAGTCCAGTAGTGTCCGGAAAATATGCATCGCGATATTAATTCCCCTGCCCCTCTCTCTCTCCCTCACTCTCTCCCACTAAGTATACTGTCCCTCCTCGATCGCGATCCAAGACCTTCTAGTCACTAGATCACAGATACTAGATTTAATTTTGGTAGAACAGACACAAGTCTCCTCTCAACCCAAGAAATCCACGACTAGATAAATTAATTGTTCTATCTAGACGCGTGGTAATTTCCTACTTTTCCCCACAGCCCGGCCTCGGTTTTGGTTTCATCTGGTCATCAAGTGGAGCGGAATTAATTTACCACCCAAACAAATTGACCTTTCCTACCGACAGCCCGGACGGACCCCTTCAAACCAAACCAAACCACCCCTCCTCTTTCTCACACACTCACCCCCTCTTCTTCATCATCATAATCATCGTCAGTTAGTTAGATACTAGACTATAACTAGAAGTAGACCGGCATAGTATATTGATTGCACCGGAACGACGTTTAATTAATCTCACGCCCAAGTCAAGTCAATCTCTATCGGCTATCTCACCACAAAACTTTCCGTTGGTTCGGTCCATCTCTGTTCTAGTTTAGTCTAGTCTAGTCCTTCGATATTCTTTTCCTTTTCCTCCTTCTGACCGACCGCATGGTCTGATTCGGGAGAGAGAAAGATACATACACACACGGAGAGGAAGAGGGAGAGGTAAGAGAGCAACTTGTACCAAACCACGGAGTGTTGCAACTCCACAATATGATGGGAAGAGGGGACAATAACTATCTTTACATCTAATCCAAAAACTACCATTTTGAATTTACATTTGCAAAGTAAATAGTAACCACTTACTTCACACCAATCTCGCTCTCTCCCCCTCTCCCATGTGAATTGGATGGTTAGCGAACCTTCCTGACATCGGGCCATACTCCTCCGTAGCAATCAAAGTACAGTAATCCCGAATTCCTACCTACTACAAAGCAAGTAGTTAGAAAACAGTTTAAATCTGCATCTAATCTGCGACGAACCATGGTTTCCTGCAGATTAACCAAGTCGGAAAACCCTTACTTGATCATTAAACCAGAGTGAAAAAAAAAAAAAAAAGAAAATTATATATTAATAGTGGATGATGGTATGGATGGATTCGAGCGGAGTACCTCAATCGCGGAATTGCGTCCTTAGCTGTGAAGTGACCTGTCTACCAAGTTTCCATAAGGAGCTAAGTAACTAACGGAGTTCTCCGTAGGTCGGGTTCGGTTTGGTTCGGTTTTACTTTACGTTAGCTTTCCATTCCATCATACTATAACCAGGTAGCTGGGACGGCGCTGCGAGTAGAAAGATAGTACCAGTACCGGCATTTGGAGGGTGTTGTTTCTTGGTGATTTAGGTAGTAGTTGGTTAGCTTTCTTATTACTCCATGGGTAGCTATCTAGTGGTAGATAGTTCATTACTTACTTGCCTTGATTTGTTCAATTATCTTTGTGGGTAATGATTTTTTTTTTCTTTTCTTTTTCTTTTTTTATATTATTTATATTATTTATTTATTGATTGATTGATTGATTGATTTTTTTTGCTTGTGTTATCGGAGTTGAGAAGACTTACTGCGCCTGCGCAAGTAGTTAGGTATCTACAGTATAGTATGTATATGCATAAAGGTAGGTTCGTTTGTTCGTTTGTTCGTGTTCAGCTCTGAGGGATCGGCTGAGTGGGAGGGGGAGGAAAGAGTAGGTGGGAGATAGGTCCCACCATCAATTCCATCCTGCAGGTCAGTAACTAATTGACTGACCAACTACGCACAGGAGATGCCAATGCAAAGGCCTGAAATTGAGAACAGGTCATACAAAGTACCGCATAAAAAAAAGAAATTATAGGAAAGGAAGGGAGAGAAGGGGGAAGCAGAAAAAATTAAAGAAAAAGATACTCCCAAAATTCGTGCCTACAGAACGGAGTAGACAAAACAAGCAATTACCCAGAGGGAAGGGGGCGGGGGAAAAAAATGAAGAAAAGAAAAGACAAGACACGGAAGCAAAGCAACGGACAGGAATAAAAGCGAACGAAGAACAAAGTCATGGATAATTCTTCCATGGGCTTTGGATGGGTCTTGTTTACTCTTCCTTGGGAAGGTGACAGCTGAGTTCCTTTGCCAGCATCCACAAAAACCCACTTTTCGAGGTTTGAACGTGAGATAAAGCTCCCTATGCACTTACTAACTACCGAATCATCCTATAGAGGGATGATTGCGGAGTCGAAAAGCCACACACACTATACATCACACAATGTGAGTATCAGCGCTCGTCAGAACGGAAGCTCATAATTTCTGAGCTGGGATATATCTAGCCTGTATCATGTCTTCGAAAGAATGAATACGTTCACCTACTACTAATTACAACTGTAGCATATGGAAACCTAATCAAAAGATATCATTCTATCTGGGGGAGTACAGCATAATGCTGTAGATACTTGTCGGAGTAGGGACAATCTCTCCTGTTCGTGCAAGCTGCCTCCATACTTTCCATTTTGGTGCCAGCAAAGTACCTGCTTTGGTGGCAGCCAATTCTAGGCTTCCAGTTGACTCGGAGATCCACTCAGGTTGGGCAGCGCCGAGCGAGTATCAAGCGATCTGCTCCAGGCTCCATAGCCACGGGACCACCTTTCAGCTTTGCCACGAAGCGGTGATCCAATGCCCGTTTCGATTTGTCTTCAAGCCCAATGCAAGCCTTCCGAGGTCTGATTTGTAGACTGAAACCCATGCTTTGTTCTGTTTCCTCTCCCGGCAGCATGCTTGCCCACGGAATTCCCGGTAATATAGTATCTATCTAAGTTTTTGGGCCACGCCAAAGTCCTAGTATCGATTATGTACTACCACCCTGGCCCTGCCTACCCCACAGGCACAGACCATGCGATTGAAAGTTTGGAGTATCTTCAGGAAGGGACAAGGCTGCCTGGAAATGGATAGATAACGTTGGAATACTAGTATCGTGATTATCGGTCACTCGGGCTAGTTGAGTCACAATCATCATACCACCAAGGATGGATAGATAGGCTGGGATGATCGTAGCAATTCCCCGAAATGAAACAAGCACCACGACAGTCCGATGATGATTTCCCAGTTTCAGCCATAGCCGAGGCTTGGCATCTCAAGATCATGACATTACATTAATTCAACCTGGCAGATGCGCCGAGGAGATGTGAAGGAAATAAAGCGCGGAAAGGGAAGGGGACAAATATGGTCCCGAAGCGGTAGAACCGAATCCTCAAGTCATGACACACGGACATGAGAATGCGACCATGGGTGTGTGGGGGGAAGGGAGGAGAGGGCCCTCTTGAGGTCGTCGGACATTTTCCTGCGACGATCACTGCGAGCCAGGAATAGATAGAGCAATGGAATCCTTGCCCGACTCCACTGGCGTTGGTCCAATGGTGGCTGTCAACTACCCTCGAAGCCGTTTGGACTTTCTGGCCAACGTCGCTAACAGACGTACTTACTGCGCTCTAGACTGGATTGAAAGGTCCGTCTCCTTCCCAAGAAAGACATGTAGCCCGCCAACGGATCAAAGTGCCCAGCGGGTCGTAGTGTGACCGCCTTATCCAGATGTCCACTTCAGTGAGGTCTTGTTCAAAGCCACTGAGCACTGGTTGAGTACCGAGTATGCTCAGATGCGGTAACTATGGAAATTGGTGAGCTCCGTAAACCCTCAATGCATATTGAATGACGGCTGAACCCCGTCCCAATGCCAGCCGCTGGGGATCTGCTTGTTGTACAACAAGCTTCAAAAGTTTACAGCTGGTTTGACCGAAGTATAAGAGACATGGAGTGGAGATGGGGGGCAAAAAAATAATAAAATTTACAAACTTCATGTGTGTGTAACTCCGAGCTTGCCTTGAACACGAGGGGAGGGGCGATAGACCGCACAATTCAAGGTCTCCTTGTTCAACCAACCGGATGTGGAGGCTGATCTTGCCATCTGGCCACCGTTACGCAGTGGAAGTCTTGAGTACTCGCACTACTACTAGCAGCAGAGACTTTTGTACTTTCTGCTTGGCCCCTAACTACTAGTCAACTATCATAAGGGGTGATGGCTATGATGATCGTCTGGAACGAATTTAGTCTAGCCACAATCGGGATTTGGATGATGTTCGTTCGGGCCCTAGACTCGACTCAGCAAAGCAGCAGCTCGACGCATTTCGACAAGAGGAGAGAAATTGTAGTAGATGTACGAAAAGTTCTAGACCAACGGCAGAGCGTAACCCACAGTTGTTTACGCTATACGTAGTGTTTCGCCTGGTATGGACGGTGGCATCATAATCGTCATTGGACAGTTTTGTTCGAGGACAGATCCAAGAGAATGATAAAAGCTGAGTGAGAGTTGAGTATCTGTCTGTCTTTGAAAGTCAAGATCAATCGGCAGAAGAGAGAAAAAGGCCTCATAGAGAGGTCGCCATAATGGTGCTGATGACGATGATGTTTATCGATCGGGTCAAAGCTGGATGTGTTGCAGTAATATGGCTCGCGTCACGAAGGGGCCCATGTTTGTGTCGTTCAGACCCATGAATTCTCCGAATGGATCTATCCGGCGGTGACTTACCGCCTCTGGTTCCATGGTAGGTGGACTGCATCTTCTGCGTCACCCTGGATGCCATTGTGTGTTCGTGGATTGCTCGTTCGCCAAAACTATAATTGGCGAGACTCGCAGCCTGCTTTTCCATGGTTTGTCGGTAGAGTCGCACCAACTTATTTTAAATATCCAAGAAAACGGAAGAACCGCCATTGCCAAGTGTAATCACTCAAGACAGAGCAAGGCAATTTGAAAGCTACTTTGTACAGGAAGCTCCTACACAGGATGGTAGAATGGTACATGATTACTTGGGGGTAGGGTACGCAGCTATCGACGATGCGAATTGCGTTGCCACATCGAGTTGTACGTAATCCCCATTGGAGTTTATACTAGACAGCGGCTTGACTACCGGTGAGTGTGAAGAGATAGCTGCCACCACTTAGTTATAATTACTATACTACAAGTAGTAGTGAACACTCAATACTGAACAGATCCAGTTCGAAGTGGATTGGAGGTTATTGGAGCATAGAGGGGAGGAAGAAGGAGGGGAGAGAGAAGGAGGGGGGCCAAAACGGGACTTACTACGGAGTAGTATTCACTTACTAGATACTTCTAACAGTTAGTACAAAACTAGACACAGTTAGGCTCCCAAGCCTCGTAGCGAGTGTCCCTTCACCCCTCTCCCATTAAGGTCCATCAGTGCGAGAACACAGAGAGAAAGAGAGCTTCGAAATCAAGCCTCGCGCCCTGCGACCGCCAGTGCGTTTGCCATGTCACTGAGTAATGGAACGGACTAAGCTGGCGTTGTCGGTCCCACTTAGCCTGTCAACACGGGGCCCAAGCTGGTGCTGATTGGGCATGGATAGGTTCTGGTGCCTCCGCCACTCTTGTCGGAAGAATGATTTTAAGGCAAGCCACCGTTTGACCCGTCTCCACTGGTCCCTAGGTAATCTTGCAGGCTTGCAGCTGCGCGGGAAACCCCTTGTTCCCGCCGGCCCCGTCGTTCGATGTCCAGCCGTGATCCAGGTTCTCCGCAGCCCTCCTCTTTTACCCAAACATACCCATTGTTACCCTCTGTTTCCCTGAACCAGAAGATGGTTCTCTGTTGAAATGCTTTGCTTACTTAGTTAGCAGTATTGTATATAGGTAGCAGTGAGATCTTGCTTCGGACTGGTAGTTGACGGGAGAGGGGAAAATAAGACATAAGCCAGCAAAAAAAATAAATAAAAAAAAAAAACGAACGGCACATCGCCCTCTCCTCCCCCCCAAGTTCACAAGTGATGGAGACAAGTGTGAAGGACCTACTGTGTTGAAGACAATGTGAATGGGAGATTGGCCCATCAATCTTTGCCATATGGGTACATAGTGCAGAGACAAGCGCAGAGAGAAAAGAGACCGACGCGTCTTTGGCGGCAATCAGTTCGGTTTAGCGAGTCTGGAAGCAGGCCGTACCAGCACTTTTGCGGTTCCAGCCCAAACGATCAACAGTTCCTAATTTAATGGGAGCCATCGAGACCCGGAGATCGCGAAATCTCAACCGTTATCCGCGAGGGTTTAAACGGGACGGTAATCAATACCCATTACCCCATAGTAATATCTGCCACATGAATAGAATTCGACGAGCCACAGCGGACTTTGCAAACAAGCAAAAAATTGTCGCCGACGAAGAGTCTCGGCAACATGCACTGAAATTGGGAAATAAAATGAATCAGAAGGTTGTAGATCCTGTGTACTATAGTAAGGTATGGTACCACCTCCTCTCTCATGGCACCATGGTGCCCCCTCCTTTAGCAGGCAAGAGACTCAAGGTGATGGTACTAATTTCATAGCAATCTATATCAGATCCCATACAATTTTCCTCATCTCAAAAGAAAGGAAAGGACCAAAAACATTTTGCCTACATTAGGGCTCTTGTGTTTCATGCATCCAAGACCCGGAAGTAAACAAATGCGAAAACCTGAATGGCTCGCCTTGACTGTACCAGCTGATTGGGCGCTAAGATCTTTGCGTTCCTGCTACTATACTACTGTACTTTTGGAGTATCTACTCGATACTACTGGTATCACTTGCTGCTTGTGGCAGAGCCATTAACATGTTGACTGATGGGTTCGGAGAATAAGTGCGTCACACTCGACAGGGATTAAGGGTAGAAATCTTGCCTACACATGCTTTTGGGGGAAAATGGGGAGTAAAAAACAACACCAAGAGAAGCAGAAAAGGGAAAGGCAAGAAAAATAAAACAAGAAAAAAAATACAGCAGGAAAAGCAAAGGCCGCTCTCCAATTTCTGCTAGCCCGACAAAATAGGTAAATGGACACCAAAAGATAACCTTAGGACGCACCTAGCTACAAAGTAGGAACAGAGAAGCGAAGCTTCATATTACCATTTAGAACATTAAGGGAACAAAAAAGCCCATTTACGAGAGAGATGAACCCGCCTTGATCCACCAGTGCAGGCTCGGCAGAGAACCATTTGCCGCCTTGTCACCTGATTGACAGCACCACGAGTGGATGTATCACTTTTTCTTCTCTGTCCCTTATTGGAGCTGCCAGATCACAAAAGGGACGAAAACTACAAAGTAAGTACTTGCTCATCATCTTACTTATTCCTGATCTCATCTGGACTGATCAAAGGCTAGGCTGTGAGGCAGCGAAAAAAAGAGTCAATTAAATTGGCCTCAACATGGACGCTCAGACTTACCCGAAGAACGGGAAGATATTCATCATGGATGGGACTATGCTGACGTTTGGACCGATAAGGCCAGTCAATTAAGGCAAGAAGTGCAGAAAGGTGGACGAGGCGAACTGGTGCTAAAAGACCCCGGATCCTAGTTAGCGCCTGGCTAGCGATATTACCTAGGACGATACTTGCCGTTCCAGGCTTGGGGTTCGTTCGCCGTTGACAGATCCATCCAGACGGTCTGGGACTAATTGGCTGGAGCAACCCATGGCCGTTGGGCCTCGGAAATTTAATTAGATTGAGCGGCGCCCAATCAAAAATACGATGAAGAAAACCGGGTATTCCGAAAAAGGAAATTACAAAAAGAAACGAAAGAAAGGAAAAATAACAGCAATTTGAAACAAATTGGAATAAATGAGTAACAAATTCTGTGAAAACACGGGAAGAGAGTAAATGAGCTTTATATTCTGGATTTTGCTGAAAATACTGAGTTGCATTCCGTCTAGTAGGATTAGTATTTTTTTTTTTTGGAAGAGTAATGCCAGAAAGTCAGCCGATTCCTTCCCGTCCTTTTCCACGTCTAAGTGAAAAAAGTACATTCTCTTCTCCAATTTCGCCGTTTCGGCCGACGGGTGGTGGTTTGGAAAGCCTCCTCTGGGGACTTGACGCCGTCGTCGTTACGCATGCTCCCCATTATCGGCCGTTTTCGCCCTCTGGTTGGAGCTTCTAAGACCATTCCACTTCCCGGCTTAGGGCGGTGGTTTTCTCCACAGGGAGAAACCATGCTCCTCAGCCGTCTAATGAGATTATCTCCTCCTAATTTCTGTTCAAGACAATTACCCTAACTAACCTTCGGGTCCTATACCGGGGTTCCCGGTTGTTCAAGGCCAAGTGAAAAACAACTCCCCACCAACTATACCCACTACTATTACCCACCTGTGGCTTAGACACTGGCTGCTCACTGCCTTTTCCATTTCTAGCAATACCAATGCTGCCCCTCCTGAGGATTACCAGACAGTGTGCTATGCATAGATGCAACTTCCTCTTCCCTTGGACACCCACATGAAGCACCTAAAAAGCACCCCAAATGGGCAGACCAAGTTCTAGTTAGGATCAGTAGGAAAGTTCGAAGATAATGCGGTTTAAATTAAAGATGCAGCAGCACAAGGCATATTCGATCGTTTTGCCAACATGTGTATGCCAGAAAGTTTTCATCCCACTACAGACAAGACATCTATCTATCCATACTTATCATCTATACTTCGAATGACATTTCTATCTATATCCGTAATGAACAGGATAACGCAACTGGATAGAGCATTGCCGTGAGTTAGTACCGACTGTGTGTCTCCAACCTGTTTGAAATAATATATCATTATTAACCATACTTATTCGTATTTTATTTTATTTTATTTTATCTTATTTTATTTTATTTTTATCAGTACGTTTATGGTCATGACGACGATGATGATGTTGATGATTATGATGGCCGTCCTAAAAGGGACTCGCGTCCCAGCTTGAGCTTCTCTTGGGTGAGTCCGGAGCAGACAGTCAACAAGTCTTTGGTAGGAGGTGGGCAGGTACCTTAGGTAAGGCTAGGACGGAGTTGATTGCATCCATCCTGTTTCGCCAGCCAACTCACCAACCAACCAACCGAGTCATTAACATGACCGAGGCTGGGCTCGAACGTTCTTCCGGAGAGGTTTGACCGCCAGTAAGGCCCTTCCCGTCAAGTATAGTACCCGGGTGTGGAACCGTTTTGATAATCATCGCCGCGTTGATAATAGTATTTATTATTATTTTGGTTGTGCCCAGTGCCGTTTTGATCCTTGCTCTAAATGGGGGGGGGGGGGGGGGGGGGAGGGGGGGGGGGGGGGGGGGGGGGGGGGGGGGGGG